GGTTAAAACTTCCTTCTGCAATCTCAGAGTATCCATTTTAAAGCAAATCGACAGCAGAGAATACCTTTTGCTTCAGAAAACAAGCTGTTTTAGAAGACATCGACATTTTATCATTGTCTGACATTATCCATATGAGTTAACTATCCTAGAAATGGGAAAAGAAGGTTACCGATTAAAATTATAAAGAATACTATTCTATCACAAAAATGATCTTAAAGTTGACTATCGAGTTTCCAAAACTTTACATAAAATAATCATCCAATTTGTTTTTCAAGTTCCATAACATGAATTCGAAAACGTTGAATGCGATATCTTCTATCGATGGAAAACTATAAGCAGAAATTCCATACAGTTACTTACACCTGATACACTTGAGTGACCCGCAAAAATTGGAAACAAAAGATACGCCTGTGATTGATTTAAAGAGACCATTTTATTTGACAAAAAGTATAGTATTTATATACAGCTAGTACTCAGGAAATGAAGCCATTAGACCACTAATCAGATGGATATAAATCAAGATGTGACACAAAAATGTTTCTAACGCGACAGTGAATGACGTTGAATGATGATTTCCATTTTTGGCTACTTCCTAACAGGAACTAAAAATGTTTTTGAGAGTTCATGGTATTCTATCACCTTCTTTACAGTTGAATATACGCTACATAGGAATTAGAGGATATCTATATAGAAATACAGTCTTATATTCTAATTGGTAGGAAAAAGATAGTCAATTAATGAAAGATAATGGAAGCGATGTAAGTGAACTGAGAAGTCTATATGAAATAATTTATTGCTTAAAACTAGGGTTGTTCTATTTTTGTAAAGCCAGGATGTTATTTTTGTATTCTTGATAAAGATAAATGACATAGGAAAGATTTAATTATTGTGTATGAAACCCCGAGATACATTACTGTATAGGGTTCACTACTGACATGCTTCGAAATGAATATCCCAATGTATTAATAAGAAGCCATGACCTGTAGGGTCAGTTAGTCGGAAATGAAGAGGATTCCAACTGGAGACGTTGGTGGATAATCACACTAAATCACGATTTGACAGAAGTGGCAAACTGTACGTCGTCAGACTCCAACTCAATGGTAAGATGGCAACTGTGGAACCTCAAAATCCTGGGTTCGAACCCTGATAAGGTCTTAGAGGAGTTTCATGCTAGGACAAAAACAGCTGTACACTATTTGGAGGTTTTCAATAGTACTCCAATAAATATCAGTCTACAATGAATACTATCCTGAAATTAATGAAAAATGATACGAAATATTACGTAATTGTATATGATGGGTTAGTTAGTTTTGGCAAAAATGTGATATTCTGAAGATAAATTAACAGCTGATTGTGCACTCCATTGTAAGAAAGGAAAGGATGAAACTCTATACAAATTAAAAGGGTTCTTACTAAAACATAAAACGAATCAATAGTTACCATGGGGTATAACAGTAAAACTTTGACACTGATGTTACCATTGGAGTTGAAGGTTAACAACTTTCGAATTCACAAGTTCAGAAGTAGTTTTCATCACAGACTGACATCAATTGCGAAATCATTGAAAACTTGGGATTTGATTTAATTCTCTAAATGCTGATTACTTTTGAGGACCTAAGTTACTTGACCTTCCTTTAGTATACCTGTCGCACAAGAAGCGGCTAGACTGACTCATCAGCCTACTAGATAACGCTCTGACATCTGAAGTGATCAGTTCCGGGTTCGAGTCTTAGGTGAGAACAACATCGCTCACTGAAAGGCAGGTATGTGCACCTGACGAGTCCTAAATAGGATGAAACACGTGTTCTGAACACTACTGCTAGCTATTATCTATCATTAATAATTCCGTTTTTTGTCATTTTGTGCTCGAGATCTGAATTTCATCCTATGTATCCATCCATCAAATGTCCAACAATGTATTTAACACTCAATGACCCCAAATATGCAGTCTTGCTTTTTATCCTAGTGATTCATATGCTCTGGGGTGTACATGTGAATTGGTAGGTATACTTTGAAATAATATGATCCAGACATCTGTGCACTTTCAATTGTTGTTATAAACAGTTTGTTTAGCATCAAGGGAACTAATTTAACGGTGGAAAAAAAATGATTTTAAGCAGTACTTTGTCAGTTCTGATTATCAATTTATCCTTTATGTAAGTGAAAATTCACTTACTAACAAATGTTATTCTCATAATGTTTTTCCGTAAAAAAGAGAAAATTGTTTTCCACCCTCATAAATTAGTGTTTCGACTAATTCTTGCTGATAATGGATAATAGTAGACGAACTCATTAAATAAAATCATGACTTAAAATAGGAATAAAATATAGGCACTATGGTAGATTGTAATTTCCATTTTAGTCTGTTTATAAGAAATGCCACAAAGTGAAGAAACAGTATCATTGACTGGATAACAACGTTTCGGACATAATTTATTGCCCATATTCATATCAGGTAAGTAACTCCACAACTTCGAGACAGTCTTTATATATTCTTAATTTTCTCTCCTTCTCCGTAATGACAAGGGTAGTAGAATTTTCCATATATCTGGGACAGGTGCACAATCATTTCTATTACCACATGTATTATTATTATTTGTCCTTTGGGTTCCTAATGGAACATAGGGCTTCAGTAGCACGTCTCCACTGCACTCTGTTCTCTGAGATTTTTTAAACCTAATTCCACAACAGCGCACAACCTCTCATTTCCTCCTTGCACGATCTCTTCCGTGTCACTCAGCTGGGACGCCCAACTCGTCGTTTCCGCTTTCGATTCCCCTCGAGGGCCTGACGTGTGATGTCCCCAATCGGCCTTCTCAGTGTATGCCCAATCCAATCCATCTCCACTTCCTTCCACTGCATATTTCTTGGTTGGTTCGTTCCCAGAGCTCCTTGTTGCTTATTCTCATTATTCTGGCCATCTGATCTTCAGTAGCGAACGTAAGCAGTTATTGATGAATGTCTGTAGTTTGTTGGAAATCCCTTTCATAACGCGCCAAGTCTCTCAACCATCACATGGAAGCACTGCTTTGACGTTGGTGTTGAAAATCCGGATCCTGTTCCACATGCTGAGTGCAGATCTCCACACTGGTTTCAGGCTAATGAACGCCTGTCTTGCTTTTCCGATTCTGACTTTGACATCCTCGTCTGTGCCGCCTGTAGTTGACCTTGCAATCATCTCAAGGGATTAGGGTAAACTGAATTATTTTACCCAATTGCATCACTAGGAGGTTTCAACCTAAAAAGCTTGTTTCTAAGCACTTTTTTGGCGTAAATGTCGCTTTAAACCTAGACGTTTTGAAAATTTGTTATGTATCTCAAATTTCTTGACGAATACTGTATGTACCAATATCACGTTAGTATTGAAACTAATACATTGGACAGTGAACGCATTAATTAATTCCACTTTTTTCGAATTCTGTGGTGTTTGTCTTTTGGTTTACCTGTCGTTATCATGTCTTCCATTGGTGCCTGTTGGTTAGCATAAAATCTGTAGCATTTTGATCAAGTACAGATGATATCTGCTCGTGTTATCCCATTTATGTTGGAACGTGTTTGGAACTAATACCGTTGCGCACACTTAAACTACAAAAAATGGTCAATGACAAAAAATCCAGCGTAACGCTTTTGAAGTGCCTTGGTTGTATGGTTAGGGTGAGGAGCGAGAAGAGGGGCATACGCTGCATGGACCGAGGGAAAGATACTAAAAGATTTGGATTTCGCCAATGATAATTTATGTCTATCTCATGTCGCACAAACTCGAAGATCTACAGGTGAAAACCAACAAGTTGACAGAACAGGCAGCTAAGACTGGACTTCAAGTGAATGTAGAGAAGACAGAGGTGATAGTGATACCCAACCGACAACAGCATCAACAAGAGGCACCAATCACCATGAACGGTAGAAATGTGAAGGAATTAGCCTCTTTCACCTACCACCTATCTAGGCAGGGCAGCATCGTTTCAACTACAGGTGGTGATGGCGGCATAGACGAGGACGTCAAAGCCAGCCAACCAGCCAGCGAGGATCGGAAAGACAGCAAGACAAGTTTTCAATAATCTGAAATCAGTGTGCAGATCTTCTGCACTGCACTCCACTGCACTACACTACACTCAGCATAAAGCGTGTGTGAACAACATCCGGATTTTCAATAGTAATGCAGTGAAGTCAGTCAGTGCTTGTATGTGATGGTTGAGAGAGTTGGCGAGTCACAAAAGCATTTCCAACAAACTACACATATTCGTCAACAACTGTGTAGGCTGGCTCATTACTGAATATGGAGATCAGATGGCCAGAATAATAAGAATAAGCAAGAACGAACTCTGGTTGGCTGGCTGGCTGGCTGTCTGTCTGGTAACGAAGCAAGGAAGCAGGAGGTTGTCGGTGAAGAAATATGCAGTGTAAGGAAGTTGAGATGTATTGGATTGGGCATGCAGTGAGAATACCATTTAGGGACATCACGTGACAGGCCAGGCACTCGAGTGGAAATGAGATGGGAAACGAGGAGTTGGGCGTCCCAAGTGAGGATGTCATAGAGTAGATCGTGTGATGAAGAAATGAGAGTTTGTGGGCAGTCGTGGTGCTGGGTTCAAAAGATGGCAGAGAAGAGAGTGGAATGGAGACGTGGTACTGAAGCCCTATGTTCCATTAGGCATCCAAGGACAAATCAATAATAATAATTCATAAACTATCATTTTTTTGTTGAATCTACATACTAGTAATAAGAAAAACCAAGCTGAAAATTCTCATCTTTAAATTTTATACTGAATAAGAAAAACAGAAATGTTAATCCATATAAAAAATAATAATAAACGTTATATTAAGTAAAGACAACTGATTATCAAGGAAATACTTAAAAGGCTATTCAATGTTCAATATAAATTGATCAAGGCGGTCATGTCAAAAATGGCTGGAGATATCGTAAATCTTCCTTCTTTTTCTTTTGCATCAAATAAACATGAGTAGTAGAGAAGAGATAAAAAAAAAAGAACGACACCTAATTAAATCCAATTAGGCAGAATACAATCAGATCGTTGGTATACATTCACTTGTAAACTATCACAAATATTTGAAGTAAGCGGTAAACATGTAAAATAATTACAATACTTACAATTAATAATTGGACCCCATATAAATATACTAATTAATCCAATCGATAAAAGAAGCCATAGCATAAAACACACAATAATAACAAAACATCTATGCTGAAAATGATGATGATAATGATGATGAGGATAATGTTGATGTTGTTGAATATGTTGATGATTTTGATGTAATGATGATGAACAACTTTTATGCCGACCAATATCATTAGAACTGAAGTTGAATAGAATACTTGGAGTTGTTACACTAGGTGTAACAGTAATAGTATTATTATTATTTATAGTTGTTGTAGTATCACAGATTGTTTGATTCACAGAAGTTGCTATTGATGTCGCCTGTGAAGTAATTGATAATGATAGAAATCCACGAAATGGTAATAAAATAAACGATAACAAGATACCAGATAAAAAACTACCAGCATTTGCATAATTATCAATCCATGGTAATAAACCAAATGTGAATAAGATAAGAATAAGGAAAATATTTCTTAATAATGCATACCATGGATATGTTAAATATTTCCAACAATATACAAAATCAACTAATGATACACCAAGAAGAGAAAATTGTGCAGCTGTAGGTCCTGTCTCCACCTTTAAGTAGAGTAGAAAAACAAAAAGAAAAATAATATTCTAATGAAAATTGATCAATCAATCAATCAATCATTCTTCATAAAACCTTTAAATTCAATGACTATCTAATGTTCATTTATGATATTCTACCAGACAGACTATCCAAAGTCTGAATGTTAAGGGCAAACCAAGTAGAATATGAATACAAATATTCCCCAATAGCAATGGATGATATTCTCATCATATTGAAAGTCGACATAATTGGTAAAGATATGGACTGTTGGATTTTCCAACCATTTCTTCATCACACGATCTCCTCTATGTCACCCTCACCTGGGACGCCCAACTCCACGTTCCCATCTCAGTTCCACTCGAGTGCCTGGCCTGTCACGTGATATCCCCAAATGGTATTCTCAGTGCATACCCAATCCAATACATCTCAACTTCCTCCCACTGCATATTTCTTCACCGACAACTTCTTGCTTCATTGCTTCGTTACCAGACAGCCAGCCAACCAACCAGAGTTCCTTCTTGCTAATTCTTATTATTCAGTAATGAGCCAGCTTACACAGTTGTTGATCAATATGTGTAGTTTGTTCGAAATGCTTTTCGTGACTCGCCAACTCTCTCAACCATCACATACAAGCACTGACTGACTTCACTGAATTACTATTGAAAATCTGGATGTTGTTCACACACGCTTTATGCAGAGTGTAGTGTAGTGTAGTGCAGAAGATCTGCACACTGATTTCAGATTAGTGAAAACTTGTCTTGCTGTCTTTCCGATCCTCGCTGGCTGGCTGGTTGGCTGGCTTTGACGTCCTCGCCTGTGCCGCCGTCACCACCTGTAGTTGAAACGATGCTGCCCTGCCTACATAGGTGGTGGTGAAAGAGGCTAATTCCTTCACATTTCTCCCTTTCATGGTGATTGGTGCCTCTTGTTGTTGTTGTTGGTGGTGGTGGTGGTGGCGTTGGTTGGGTATCTTCATCACCTCTGTCTTCTCTACATTCACTTGAAGCCAGTCAGTCAGTCAGTCAGTCCCGTCTTCCTTCGCTACCCTGTCTGCTCCCTCAACTTGTTGGTTTTCGCCTGTAGATCTTCGAGTTTGTGCGACATGAGATAGACATAAATCATCATTGGCGAAATCCAAATCTTCTAGTATCTTTCCCTCGGTCAATCCAGCGTATGCCCCTCTTCTCGTTCCTCACAGTTGTTTGTGGCATGTTCTAGTCGAGTCGACCACAATTGGGAAGATGATGGGTGATAGTAGGTGGCATCCTCGTCTTACTCCTGTCCCCTGTCCCCTATCTTCACTTCAAAGGCGTTAGTGAGCTTTCCATTGTGAATTACTTGACATATGGTGTTTTCATATAGTTGTTGAATGAGGTTGATAAAGGTTTATGGTATTCCGTAGTGATGAATCAGTTGCTAAATTACTTGTTGGTCGACGCTGTCGAAAGCCTTTTCAAAGTGGATAAAGGTGAGGCAGAGAGTTGATTGCGATAAATCATTTAATATTTCAAAAGTGCTGTTCACTGCCCTCAGATTTTTTGGAGTTTTTTCTGGAATTGATGTCTATCTGTGGAAAATCTTGGAAAATATATAAGTTGGAGACATGAAAACCATAATGAGACACTTGGTGATGGCTTACGAATAGAAGAAGAAACTAATCTGAATGAAAACAATGTTATGTTAGCTGATAGGAGATAATCGGTAGGAAACCCTGGGACTAGGTTTCGCTCTTGTTCGTACTCGTCACCTAGACATATCTTCACTCTCGACGAAATTGATGTCCCACTTCAGATTCAAACCCGTATCAACCAGTGTTACAATGAGAGACATTACAACTGAGCTATTTATGCCACGGTTGACCTCCTGTAGGTACATTGATTGGTCACTGGAGAGTAACTAATTTCATATACTCTACTTCCAAGTGGTGATCATGCTAAGAGACTCACCAACGCGGGCAGCATTCCTTTCCATATCTATAAGGTTATTTTAAGGATCACCTTAGTAAATACACCTACTGTAGTCTAAATAATCAGTTTATTCTTTGTTTAACAGATAGACTTGTGAACATATTCATACAATTCTTTTTCCTACTCTGAAATGAACTTTTCAAAACATCAAGATCTAACTTATTATCTACAACACTAGAGCAGATGTAGTTGGTAGTTAGATCTTTCAGATCATAGGTTCTACAGTAAAACAATAGTTGAGTACTCAAAAACTTGATCATATACAGTATATTGTTGTATTGATTACCATCAACAACATATTATATATCCCACAAAATTTGGATGTTTACTTCACTTCGTCAACTAAACCCTATTAATCTTTCCAGTTAGTTAGTAACTGTTAATCCTCTCTTTCACATCTCTCGATCAACATTCTTATCTGTTTTAAAGGGTTATTACTACTGTAGGTGATAAATCAATTTATTTGTTTTCACATCAATGATATTCAACATTGACTGTTGATAATCATAGTTCTAGATACTTGGTAATGATTGAAGTGAAATAGAAATCTGGTTAGCAGTCGGACCTCGTAGATCTCCTCAGTTGATAGAATATCAGCCTGGAAACCTAGTAGTCGCGGGTTTGAATTCGGCCTTGGTTCAAATTCCCGTTTTATCTTTAATCATCACCTAATATCAATTAATAGTTTAACAAACCACAGCTACCTCACTCAGATAGTTAAATGATAATCACAGTTTCACCGTACTAGTTAATCTACATGAAGATATGCCATCAAACGTGTTTACGTCAATTGGTTTTCTGTCTTGTTATGCTAAATCGGTTAGATACGATCCATTCTCACTTAATTAAATGTGAAGTTGTATATCACTGGTTTAGGCAGTTAACTTTCATATAGTAGGCCACAAATTCAAACCCCACTCCGTCTATTTAAGTGTAAAATAGCCAGATACATAATAAATTCGACTCCCTCCTCCTACCTACTCGAAGAACATGTAACATGATTGTTGAATGCACTTCGATTCAATTACGGGTCACTTAGCTCAAGCATCTTCGTCTACAGGCATAAGCCTTCAAATATACCATCAGTGTTGGACGTTCAATTTATTATCACCTCTCGGTATTACAATCTACAGCATTACGGTTAGATGTATGAAATTTAGTTTTGTTTTTTCAGTTAATAAATACGTTGATACTCCGGTCTTCTTTTTTATATATAGGCCGTTTAGTGATAGATTGTTTATGTTTTTGAATTATAAAAACTTCATTACTTCTGGTTGGGATTTTCGGTAGCACAAAAAACTGTCGCTTTGACAGTATCTTCCCCGGATTCATTCACTTGATCTAATCGTTAAAATTTCTTCATCTTTTTTCATTTTCACAGTAAAATTATATATATATATATATATATATATATATATATATATATATATATATATATACATATATAGGAAATATGCTAAAAATAAAACGCTATCTTCTTAATATACTAGCTGGTTTTATATGTGGAATGAAATGCGCGCATTATCCAGTAGGTAGCAATGAATCACATCTATTGTGTAACACTATACAATACAACTTTGATGCCAAAACCTTTGTAGATGGAGCTAGGCTCGAACCCATGAAACAATCGTTGTAAGTCATGGCCCTAAACCAATAAACCATAGTTTCTTATATACGGAGGACCTCAGTATTGTCGTACTGAACTTTAAAATGAGTTCATAAATGTCAATTTTAATGACTTTCAATTATTTCCTCCTTTATTGATCATTATTTGTCAGAATTAACCAAACAGGTGTAGAGTTTTAGGAGAAGAAGTAAGACAGTTGACAAGGTTTTGAACCTTTATCGACTGAGATGGTTAGGACACGTACTACGTATGCCTAGTCACCGATTGCCTCGTCACACAATGTTGGCTGAGGTGGGTCCAGGCTGGAAAAAGGCTCGAGGTGGCCAGACTAAAACATGGCACCAATGTATGAAGTCTCTGACTGTTGGTTTAAGCCATGTAGGACGATGCAGACTAGGTGGTTGAGGTCCACGGGATAAGAGGAACCAGTGGTTGGAGACCCTAGTTGATATGGCTGAGAACCGATGTGAGTGGCGCAGATGTATACACACATTATCCTCATCTTAACAACGCTATACCGAATCTCACTATTTTGTCACTCCTCTTCCCTTTCTCCTCGTACTTTATATTTCCTTTGACTGCATTCACTTATCTTCATCCTTCACCTCACTACCTTTCTACTTGATGAACTGACGTGAGGTGTGGCAAGTTGGACCGTTATTCAGTAATGCCTGGTCCTATGTTGATAATGATGATGATGATGATTAAGCAAACAAAGTAAAAATAACTTGCTTGATATGGTAAAAATATTCCAGATGTTAAACTTCCAATACAACCAGATAATATATACACTAAAGCAATACGATGCCAACCAATCATTTTCTCTAAATCCCGGATAAATATCATTTGAACACCCAATGATAGGAGTAAATGTAACACACTGAAGCAGAAGAGAAAGAAATGAGAAAAGATCTGTCAGAAGTCACATGCACACAATTTACGCTACAATAAGTTGGCACCACGGGTATGGTTTTATTTTGCGTTCACAGGACTTCGCTTAAACGTAGAGAAGACAAAGGTGATGAAGATACCCAACCAACAACAACAAGCTCCAATCATCACATCAACGGGAGAAATCTAAAGCAAGTTGTCTCTTTCACCTACCTAGACAGGGCAGCATCATTTCAACTACAGGCGATGGCGGTAGCACAGATAAAGATGTCAAAGTCAGCCAGAATCGGAAAGACAGCAACACAGGCCTTCCTGCACTAATCTGAGATCAGTGTGGAGATCTACTGCACTTTATTCCACTCGGCATAAAATGTGAACAAAGTATGGATTTTCAACACTAATTCGGTCAAGTAAGTCTGTACTTCTATGTGATGGTTGAAAGACTTGGTGGGTTACGAAAAGGATTTCCAACAAACCGCAGACATGCATCACATCAACAGCTGCCGCCTATGCTCACCCGATACTGAAGATAGAGATCAGATGGCCAGAATAATAAGAATAAGCAACAAGGAACTCTGGCTGGCTGACTGACTGGCAACGAACCAACTAAGAACCCGTAGCCCAACAAATATACAGAAGAGAGTGGAGATGGGTTGGGCATGCACTGAGAAAACAATTCGGAGACATCACACACCAGGCCCTCGAGTGGAATCCAAATGAGAAACGAGGAGTTGGGCGTCCGAGCCAAGGATGACACGGAGGAGATGGTGTAAGGAAGAAATGAAAGGTTGTGGGCATTGGTGGAGACAGGTTAAAAGACTGCAGAGAAGAGAGTGAAATGGAGACATGCTACTGAAGCCCTGTGTTCCACTAGGAACCCATAGGACAAATAATAGTATTACCAAAAGCGTGAACATCACACACATACACAAGCGGAACAGTTTTACAAAGCTGTATCATTTCTAAGGTCTCCAAATGCTACTAAACGCTACAGACTTATATAGCAAAAGGAGTACAAGTTCTTCTGAAAATATAACATGTTACTTCTGATGAGTGCTAACAGTGACAAAGCATAAACTGATTAAACTCTGGCGATTAATTCATCATGCTTAAAAACGTTACGAGAACTAGTGAAAACATTAAGGAGCAATAAGTTACTGAGTGGATTTCCAATGGCTAAAACTCTAAACTTCATTCTATCCATGACCCACTACTCATCAGGTGTTATCGGTCAGTATTTACTTGAATGACCAATAGGAAATCATTTTCCACGGAATGTTTGAAATAATTATCTTTAAATAGGGTCTATATATTTCTCTAAGTGATAATAAGGTAGGCTGGAAACAGAAGATAGGAACTTTTGTATCACCGAAAAGTACTAACTAGATACAGTGTTAAAGACGAGCAGCTAAAGAGGATGATTTTGATGGTGTTGTGTTCTCTGAGCTGAGTGGTGTAGTCCTGAACCTTTCATCTTCATTCTAGATAACAGCATCAGCACAAACTTCTGAAAGAAGTGAGCCATGGATTTTTCTCTACATGTGGCGTAGTAGCTTCTCCTGATAACCTTGTGTGTGCTGTGCTGTTCCTACCAAAGTTTTGTTATTGTCTCCACATTTATTTTAATTGGTTGTCCTGTTGACGTGAACTTTGACCTTCTTACCGTTTCTTAATAGTTAGTAGGTTGGGTCAGTGCCAATACATCTACTGATCGCTGACTGACCTAAATGTCCAGCTTTTAAAAATTCCAAGGCATTCTTTGTATTGGTGTTATTTCTTGTATTATACAGTCGTTGATTGGACCGAATTGATCGGTTTCTATTGGCATACTGGCTCCTGTGTCGATGCCTCGATATACCTATGTTCTAGTTATAGTAAGGCTCCCGAGTTCGAACCTCGGTAGAAACAACATTACTCACTGGAAGGCAGGTGCATACAGTTGACAAGTCCGAAATAGTACGAAGCGCGTATCTTGAATTCCACTGGTAGCCACTATCCATCATTACTATGATTACAACACAGGTAATATCGAGGCATCTGGACAGGAGCCCATATGCCAACAGGTACTGATCAATTCGGTCCAATCAACGACAGCATAATACAAGCAATAACATTATTATTATTATTAGTTTGATCAAGTTTGTCATTATATGAGACCTTCCTTGATAAATTCAGTTTTCAACTCAAAGGTTATTGTACTCATAGAATTGTTGTTTAAAACACTTAGTTCCCTTTATAAACTTCGACAAAACAATAAGAAGTGATTTGTCTGAATCGTCTAATGTGCATTTGTGCAACACATTTCGAACAATCTGATCACATACTTACTTGTCATAGGTATTTATATGAAAATTCATGAAGATAACAGGTGAAGAAATGAAAACAGGTCAAGTAGGAAGGCTGAACAACAATGAAAATCAACAAGCAATAACACTAACACTATACCCGTGACACAAGAAATGGCCAACATGGATCGCTGGTGTAGTGGATAACGCTCTGGCGTTCTCAAGCGATTCCTACTGAGTCTGAAGACCTGTGGGAACAGCATCACTCACTGGGAGGTAGGTACGTTCAGCTGATGAGTCCCAAATAGGACAAAATGCACACCCTTGATTCCACTGCTAGCCATTATTCATTTTCACTACTACCATTACTGGTAATAATAACAATAATAATAATAATAATAATAATAATAGGCATTCCAACACACTTCAATTATGCAATCAAACAACTTACCCAGCATGAAGGAATAATGAGGTAAAGATTCTGTAAATTTGATTTGGATATTCATTGTCGATAAAAGGCGACATACCACAGATTTGATTTAAACAATTCACCTAAAGAGGGAAAAAGATTCAAGGGGAACAAACAAACCAACAAACTAAACAACATGTGAGACAATGCATACCCACCATATAATGTAGACGAAAATCATTTCAACCATACTCAATGAAGGCAATCAACTACATTGAAATGCCAGTTGAAGTTGGAATCCTCTTGATGATTCAGTTAGTTAGCTCATACAAAATGTTTAACAACTATTGCATTGATATAGAAATACATTTATCTCTAAGAAGTATATCTGTGGTTAAAATTAAAGTGACACACACGTTCGAACCCCCATCCACTTCATATCGCCTAGACGGTTCGAACAACTAATTTATGCGTAATTCACACCCTGATACGTAGCGACAAAAGGCAGCCAATAGGGGAGTTGCTTTCAAGTCATGATCAGATCACGTTCAGGTCATGATTTATGCATGCGCTGACATGAGAACCTGATTGGAGAAATTCGACCTCATACAAGAAATCGGATTGGCTCATTTATGGCTTCACTCTCTGAGAGTTTTGTAACTACATATATGTCATGTATCTGTCTAATAAAAGTTGTTGTCACTGTACTTCAGTTACAGGCTGTCTTTGTCTTGTGATATCCCCCGCGGCTCAGTGAAGCAGAAGGTACTGAGAGAGGTCAGTAGTAAAGGTATTCGGTTGAGGTGTCTATTCACGCGCGCAACCCCAACACTCGGTCACAACACACCCAGGCTGGAACATAAATCTATACTTTAAAACCACCGGAGAGTAAACACATCTAGTAGTGAAGTCAATGAGCTTTGCTGAAATACAGTTCACAATTTGAACAAGACAACGTTAGATCACGGTAATAATAAATAGAAAAAGGAGATATATGGATGGAAATGAAAGAATTCTGTTACTCAAGAAATGAAACTAACTTGGCGAAATGGAGTTTGTAATGACACTATTGATGACAGTAACATGTTAGCCACCAGATCTGAAGATCCTAGGTATACACAGACGATAAGTCCTATAGTGGGGATAAAACCAGCTCTCAGTTTCTCAATGGTTCGCTAACTAATATAAATTCTTGGTTGTATTGTGTTCTCTGAGCTTAGTTGTTTATTCATAGAGCTTTCATCGTCTTTCTAGACGACATCTTCAGCACAAACTTCAGTATGAAGTCATAATTCATTCTGAAGTTAGTGATAAAGATGTCGTCTAGAAAGACGATGAAAGCTCTATGATTAAACAACTAAGCTCAGAGAACACAATACAACTAAGATCATCCACTTGGGTTATAAATATTCTCCACCATTTCATAATATAAATTCTTGATGAATACCACCTTGAAATCAATCGATTCCAAGAAACCTACAGATTGAACTGTATTTAAATGTTTTAAACCCACCGACAATACAACAAAGTTGCATAAAACCACAGTTAATCAATATCAACATAGGACTAGGCATTACTGCGTAACGGTCCAAGTTGCCACACCTCACATCAATACATAAAGTAAAAAGGCAGTGAAGTGGAAGATGAAGATAAGAAAATCCAGTCAAATGAAATATAAAGTACGCAAAGAGATAAACGAAGAATGAAGAAGTGGTGAAATTCGGTATAGCGTTGTTAAGATGAGGATAATGTATGTATACATCTGCGCCACTGACATCAGTTCTGAGTCATATCGTCTAGAGTCTTCAACCACTGGTTCCTCTTTCCCCGTGGACCCCAACCATAGTACTAACAAATAAATAGATTATCATTTTGACTATTTGAGACAGTCGTGGTTTAATATTGGGTGATGATTGAAAATGAAATGAAAAATTTGAACAGCGGCCGAATTCGAACCGGCCACCATCGCATTTCCCGCCTGATGTTCTACCAACTGAGCTACGAGGTCCGATTACTGACCAAATTTCTTTATTTCATTTCAATCATCAAGGCTTTCGCCCGAGTACCACATGAATTCGTGATTCTTTATTACCTTTGATCGTATTCACGCTGGCTGCTGCGTAATCACGACTTCTCATACCAATCCAAATCTAACGGAACTAGAGAGGGGGAGCATCACACTGATTATCACTTGGCTATCTGAGATAGCCGTAGATTACCAGACTAGTTTTGATAGTGGGTGATGGTTGAAGGTGAAATGAAAATCTGGTCAGCAGTCAGACCTTACAGCTCAGTTGGTAGAGCATCGGATCGGAAACCCGGTGATCGCAGGTTCGGATTCGGCCGCGGTCCAAATTTTCACCTCACTTTCAATCACCACTCAGTATAAAGACTCTTGATTGCAAGTTATAACTATAGACTAAGTTGGATTTTACTACTGGCAATTCATTACAAAGATCGGTTAACTTTGCCTAAAGATATGCGAACTAACCAAAAGACAGGCAGTACATCCGTCTAAGTTGTCACAATTCACAGTAGTATAAAAAGAACAAGTGGATAGGAAAAGAGTAATATCAAGGCGGACAAAAGTGTGAGAGGACAAACTTTGAAGATAAAGGTTCGTGCCAATATTGAACTTGTAGAACACGTCAAAGAGTAAATACATCTCCCCCACTGCGAAAGATTCTCAGACACGTCACCAACAGACCTCAACCACTAATTTCCATCGTCTGAAATCCAATCCCGGCAGTGTACACCTACCCCACATGACTCAGACTAACGGTCAAGGACCTCATCGACTGGTGCTAACATCTTGGTCTGGCCAATCTGGACCCTCTCCCAGACTAATCCAACTTCGCCTAGCTTGGCACATCGAGATATGTGGTGGCTCACGATGCCCAGTACATGTCCAAGCCGTCTCAGTTGATGAAGGTTCACAACCTCATCAATCGACTTGCCTGTCTTGCCCGGTACCTTACGCCTGGCTTCAACAATGCTCATACAGTGATTCCACCAAACGCGAGCAATGCTACAAAGACACCTGTGATCAAAACCCCGGTCACGTTCCACAGCCAAAAGACAGGACAGAACGGACTGCACGGTAGCACACTCATCCATTGATAGATAGTCGGATATCTTGCTAATGAACGCCATGGTGATGCAAGTTGGCAAATATCAAACTGGCCTTCTGTATCCAAGCTGAGATTTTGTCAGCCTGTTCGGGCTGATGCAGCTCCCGAAGTAAGTGATGTGGCCGATGCATTCAGCCACTTCACTCCCTATCAATAAACTGGGAAGTGGCAGTGCTGGTGCATCATCTTACATTTGACAGGTACCAGCTAAACGCACGCTAAACATACTCAGATTTCCGCTCAACGTGTCCAGAAGACCCTGCATTTAGTCAGCGTCTTCACCTAACAGGACAATATCTTCTGAACACTCCAAGTCAACTAGATGACCGCCAGAGAGTAGATCAATCCATGTGAAGTCAGTGGTACCTTTAGGTTAGTACATCTATAACAAAATAAATAGGAATGGCGATAGGGGCATTCTTCGCCAACACCACTACTTGTCATCCATGCACACGAAAACTCTATGAGCCCCTAACACGATTGCATGAGTTTGAGTAAAAAGGTTCGATGAGCATTAAATGCCTGCTAGGTACTCCCTTCACAGCCAGGCACTGCAACAACACCTCTCGATCGACAAAGCTAAATGCACCTTCAGGTCAATAAATATGGCACATGTCGAGAGTCAGCCAGTAAGTATACCTGTGCTCTAGAACCTACCGGAGGGTGAAAATCTAATCGATACACTCTCGTGCAAGTCTGAAACCTCCCTAGTTTTCTTGGATTTGCTATTCTCGTGGTCCGATTGGGCGCTGCATTTTTGTGGACCCTAAGATTTTGAACAAGATGTATATGAAATTGACCTGAGTATTTATCACAAGAAGACTTCTCTTCTTTCCTATAGACTGGAATGATAAGTGAAGTAGACCAGTCTGATGGCCCTACCAGTGACTGCCACACATTACCTAGCACTTCCACCACTCTAATCAATAATTTTCTAACCTGATCTTTAAGAACTTCTGGTCAACAACCGTCAGGTTCCGCTGCTTTGCACCCTTTCAGGTTTGATGCAGCCTTCTCAACTTTAGGGAGATTCGGAGGACCGACATCTTCGTTCAATTCAGGTTCCGGTTGGATGCTAAAGCAACTAAACCGTTTCTGTGAGCAAATTAAACTTTACCTCAAAACGTTTCACTCGACGTTCTGGTCACCTGTCCCGAAAGGTTATCAGCGTATCATCTTATTCGGTAAAGGTTTCCCTAGTTAGCATCATCTTTTTGCTAGTATCCTTAATAAACCTAAATAATTGCCGAGTACTACCCGATGACATGCCATAGCGTAGCATTGTATGATTGTAACTTTCTTTCCTTTTGAGTTGATCCTGCATGAGGAGGAGATTGGTTCCCACTTCATGAGAGCCTTTGTTGCTCTTGGAGACATCATGATATCCACTCAATAACTCAGTGTGCTCGTGGTTATCGTCTGGATGACAATATCGGCGTAGATTATTAACTCTCCAGTTGACAGCTGGGAGAGCCCACTTCGATTGCATCTGCTTTCGCAGATTCCTAGCACTTCTATGCTATACCTTCACATCTCTTTTGTAATCCGGGAAGCCTTGCTAGGTTCAAACACTGTCCGGACATTCCATGCCCCTACTCCTACTTTCGCTCCCATCGAGAGAGGCGAAGATACATCGGCCAATAGACTTTCTGAAGGCTTTCATCAACTGGGATTATTTCGTCTCCCCGATCCGATTCCAGCGAGGAATAAGTTTATTTACATTTTCAATATTTTTTTGTGCTCTGAAGTTTTTCTAGAGATTGGATTGGTTTTAAGGGTAGGGTAGCTAGCCATATGCCCAACCTTCCCTCTTTATCCGGGCTTAGGACAGGCTAGTAAACTAGTGAATCGGTAAATTAGGCGAGGTCCTTTATACCTTAATGAACATTATTTATCGTCTGTAGTTAGGTAACGAACGATTCAAATATAGTCTCCAATATGGATTGATGCAAGCTGCAAGAAAAGTCTATACAAGGAAGCATTAAGAAGGGTAATGTTTCTATCTTAACTCAGAACTCTTAACAAGCAAATCTATATTACCTATCCATCGGTAGAAATATGACTTGCAGAATTCAGCATTTATTTAAGATAATCCTATGGTCGTTAGTAGAATAGATGCACCTCACTCTACCACACACAAGTTTGTATGTATGTAGTAACTAAGCTCAAAAATAGATACTTATAATAATTATTAATTTATGGTTGAAACAAAAGAAAGTATAAATATAAATTACTTGAGAGCATAATGCAGCTGTTGGATAATAGAATCCTCGAACAAAATCACAATGTTCTTGTGTTGTTATAATGCATTCACCCTTGATACCTAAGCAACATGGATGACCGGTAACTTGACATTCCATATGAGGTGCATAACCACCCATATTTAGTACATTACCAGGTAATTCACAAATCTAAGCAGAAAGTAAGATTGTTCAACTGGTTAATGACATACATTAATCATGTATACAATGTAATGAATGCAAGTAAAAGCAGTTATCTATATCCTGAGGTTACTAAGATAGATAGCATCGATTGTGTAATGATATCATTTGATTGAATTTAGGGGTTTGTGAAGATCAAGTGGTCTTTCAAGTTGGTATTCATCATAGACTGACATAAGGTGGAGGAATATTGGAAGCTTGGGACCACTGGACAGCTGTTTCGTCCTAGAAGTGAGCACCTATGACCCCATCCACCAGGGATCGAAACACAGGGTATTCAGGTTCCGTGGCCAGCACTGTTACCCACTGGATCGGAATCACTAAATCCGCATAAACCCCTAAATTAAATTGATTTGGTGTTCATTGGTGACTAGCTTCATGAGGTGATCCCTGAAGTTCTAAAGAGAAGTCGTGACCAGTGGGGCAAACCTGGTGGCCGTGAGGATAAATACTCAACGATGACATTGGGTGATGGTCGCGCTATGTCGTGAACTGATAGAATTTGGAAATGTGGACCACTGGATTCCGGTCACGGGACCTGGAGGTCCTGAGTTCGATCCCCGACGAGGTCGGGGTCATGTGGGGGCGCACTGTTGTGGATATCATTTCAACTGTCATTCTAGCGACGCAGGTGCATAGACACCCTTCATCTCCCAATAAAACGAATTGGATGCAAAACGATCGACAGAACTTAGTGAGCACCTACGGACTGAATAACATGATATTGGTTGCTCTCCAGTGACCAATCAGTGTATGTAGTTCAGTCCTACAGGAGGTTAACTGCCTCTGACTGCAACACTGGATAACACAGGTTCGAATCAAAGACGAATTCACTTATAATAGGCTATTTTATATGTATGATGATCCTGTACAGTATAGAAGTTTATGGTCATCATCAGAAGTCACTCTCGATCAGTTTAAACAATTAATACCAAAGAAAAAAGGATTATTCAGATACTCCTTCAAGAAAGCTTCAAATGAATTCGGCTCAGGTGTAGTTCATCAACAGACCACTGATGAGGATACTGTCCTCTCATTGTGGAAGGGTAAAATTGTTCCCAGTGGAACGAAGTGATTAGGTTAGGCAGTAAATTTAGTTGTATGTATGTGTGGTGGTGTAGCCTGCCAACAACAATTATTATTATTATTATTATTATCACCGCTATTGTCATCATATAAAATAGTAATGGATAATATTATACTACTAATTATCTCGTCTGCTGATGTCATTTGCTTTCTTCCCTCATCCTCTCGATATTCTATACAATATACAAAGAGGTAGAGAGATGACGAAAGATAGACAGTTGAAAGATTTCATTGTATCTCTTCTCTTATTCTATTCTATCCTCTTTGTTTTTCTCTTCTGTAGACAAGTTTAATTTAATTTTCATTAATATGCCTAGTTTAGGCGCCACTAGTTGATATTTTACTCCAGGTTTCTTCTATTTACATTCAGTGATGTATTGTCCAATGTCACACAACTATCATCCACATCCTATATACGGTGTATGTATGCTGGGTTGGTTTGCGTGTTGTACTACTGTTTAATCAATCAAACAGATAATCATCATCAGTAGTCATGCGTTAAACAGCATATTATTATCATTAATAATAATGGTAATAAAATTAGTAATTTTGTTCATAACTATCTATCATTTCATCTTTTCCGTTAAAATGCATCCCGATTTGAACAAAATACCGTTTATGAGCCTAAATACTTTTTAAATTGTTGTTTCCACGCCATTTTAACGGCATAGTCAGCAGTTCACTGGCTGCCCCTCTAATTTTTAGGTTTGATAAGTGCTTGCTGTTACTACGTCAATGTTTCAAGTTCAGGACAAGATCATATTAAAGTCGGTGTTGCTGATTAGAATGGATATAAGTACTATATGTTGCGAGGGCGGCAGAAATCACAGGAAATTACTATAATAATAATTATCATTATTATTATTATTATTTGTTCCTTCGGTTCCTAGTAGAACACAGGGCTTCAGCAGCACCTCTCCATTTCACTCTCTTCTTTTGAACCTCGCTCTACGACTGCCCATAACCTTTCATTTCTTCCTCACACCATCTCCTCCATGTCACCACCCTCGGACACTCAACTAGTCTTTTCCTACTTGTCTTCCACTCGACGGCCAAGCCTGATCTATCCTGATGCGTGATGTCCGTAAAACCGTCTTCTCAGCCCATGTCCAATCCAATCCAATTTGTCACCACTTTCTTCTACTGCATAATTGTTGCTTTAGGTAACGCGCCAACTCTCTCAACCATCAAATACAACCACTGATTTACTTCACTTACATTAGTGTTGAAAATCCGGATCTTGTTCATGCTTTCTTTATGCCGAGTGCACTGCAGTGAGTAGATCTCTACACTCATTGGTTTCACATTATTGCGGGAAGGCCTGTCTTGCTGTCTTTCCGATCCTGGCTAACTGGCTGGCTTTGACATCCTCACATGCGCCGCCGCCACCTCCTGTAGTTAAAACGATGCTGCCTTGTATAGGTAAATGTAGGTGAAACAGACTACTCCCTTCACATTTATCCCGTTCGTCGTGATTATTACTTCTTGTTGTTTTCGTCGTTTACTAAGGCATCTTCATCACCTCTGTCTTCTCTACATTCACTTCAAGTACCATCTTCCCTTCCTCTTCTGTCAACTTGTTGGCTTTCACCTGTACACCTTCAAGCATCTGCAACATCACACAAACATAAATCATCATCCGCGAAATCAAAATCTTCTTCTAGCCTCTTCCCATCGCTCCAGCCAGTCTATACCCATCTTCTCACTACTCACAGTTGTCTGTTGCATATTCCACTCAAGTCAAGTCAACTCGAGTCCAGTCGAGTCGAGTCCACCACAATCAGCAAGATCATCGGTGATGATAGTAGGCGCCGACCTTGTCTTACTCCCGTCCCCTGTCTTCACTTCAAAGATGTCACTGAGCTTTACATTGTCAATAACTCGACATGTAGCATCACATAACATAGCATAGCACAGCACAGCATATAGCTGCTGTTGAATGAAGTTCATAAAGGTTTGTGGCACTAAAACCGTGTTGTTGAAGCACCAGCTACAACTACCTGCCAAATTATTTCTCGTTCGATGCTGTCGAAGGCCTTTTCAAAATCGATGAAGTTGAGGTAAAGATCAAGTTGACTGCCATTATATGCTCTGTTCTATCATGATACGTAGCGTAGCGTTGCAATTTGATCCGCACATGAGTTGTTCTTCGTGAAGGCAGCCAGCCTTTTTCGGTAGTAATTTTGAATTCAGAGCGTCTTTTTGCTTCTCTCTACATGATGACGCGGCTCCATATTTTCCTTTCTTGGAGTGGAGTGGAGCATAATTCCGCTCCAGTTCTTACAGACTTAGATCATCCTTCTTTCGAAGTTTCACAAGATAACCCTTCTTCCAATCAGTTGGCAGGTTCCTTTCCCTCCTTCCTTTCAAACATTCTGCAATAATGGTGTGGTGTGAGCATGTCCACTGCTGTCTCTGCGTCTGCTTTCAGTGCTTTTGGAGGAATCCATCTGGTCCTGCTGCTTTCCCGGATTTCAGCAATTTCATGAAGCATCGTCCAGGACTTCACTTCTGCTTTTGTAGGAGGGCTTGTTTTCCCTGATAGTTCTGTGACTGGGCTGGTGGTGGTCGATTCAAGAGTTTTCTGAAATAGTCAGCCCATTGTTTCCTTGGTTTCTCCTCTTTGATGGTAACCAGGTTTCCTTCACTATCTTTCATCGGTTTCATCTGAGTTGATCTCTTCCCAGATAGTATCCTGGTTATTTGATATAGTGTTTTCAGGTCTCTCCTACCTGCAGCCTGTTCTGCTTCAGACAATTACTAGTAATAGGTAAAGATTCTGTCCAGAGAAAAGCAAGAGACAATGTGGGCGTATTAAGAGGGAATCAAAAGAGAAGCAGAACAGGAAGTGAAGCACATAAAGCAAATAACTGTCTTATGCAAGGTGTACCATATTTGATGACTACTGTACCAGATGTCAATAATAAACATTCCTTCCATAGTCTCTGTCTTTCGTTTCCCTCAGTATGTCATGTATGTTTTCAGATTATGCTTCTCTCAAAGGTAATAAACTCTTTCATTCAGTCTACTTTTCTTCTTTGTTTCATCCGGGGTTGAAGTCGTTAGATCTAGCGTACGAATTTAGCTGTCATTTAAACGTGCATGTTATATTCTGTCGGGAATATAACACTTCCCGCATACTCACTTGTTCTTCTAATTGTGACATGAATTGTGAGAACCTGAACCACTGCACTTGTGTGCAAGGTTCTAGGTTAATTTCATCAGTCTGTCCGTTTATCTATCTACCTGTCTGACTATCGATCATCTTATAACATCTATTACCCACGACAATTTGCTATATTTCGGTGTTCCTTTACATACAAAGATACAAAAGATTTATTAATCTGTTAATATTGATGAAGACTGACTACCGATAGAGTATCATTAACTTAATGAGTGATTTATATGGCAAACGGTGTATAAAACTCAGTGATCATCAAAAAGCACTTGAACAAAACAGTAAAGATTGAACATACAGGCCATTTAGTAATATCAGTTTCAGACCAAGTAAATGCTCCACTAGAATGTGGTCGAAGACAAAATGCTGGATCCAATCCACATACAGGTCCAGCATAACCAATAAGTCGTGTTGGACGAAGAGAATGAACGATACTGGAGAAATCATCAACACTTGAATTTTCGATAATATGAGAAGAATTCAATGAATGAGTACGGATTTCACGATTTGAAATATACGTGGATAACATTTCTGTATTGTGAATTGGACTAAAAATTACCAGTTTCATAGTGAAGCCAGGTAGCTAGAGTACGAGAACAGACATCTTTATGCGTTTGATAACAACCTCCTCCATCATTTCGAATGCAACAACCAGACCTTCAAAAGAAATAAAACTTAGTTATTCCTTTAAAAAAAAACTGATAGAAAAGGGTCTCTATTACTTTAACCACACACATCAGTTGTTCGATCTAGAACTTATGTGTTAAATTCTTTCACCTCAAAGGTATTAGCACCACTATTCAGATTAGATTCAAGTACCGACTGCTTCTAAAACTTTATTAAACTATAGAATCACGAGAAATCCTGGTAGATTTAACTGATGAGCCCAAAAAGGGACGAAACGTGCAGTGTGGATTCTATTGTTAGTAAATAATGAACGTTACAAAGAAACTGAAAACATCAACAAAGAATTTCATATAATAATAGAACACGATGTTTTCGACCACATAAAACAAAAGAAAATTTCAAACACTAGTCAAAATGTCATACAAATCAGAACCAATGGAAGAACAAAAAACTTAACAGAACAAAATGAGCTCATTTTATTTCATGGCCTTTCACCAGCTGCAAACAGCCTATAATTGAAATGAAGTAGTAGTAATAATGACACGACATACTTTAAACACGCAGAAATAGGTAGAGATTTAAAATCCAGGATTAACAGTTAGGTAGTGAGCCAAAGAAACACAAGAATAACAAATACGAATCTTATTATCATTATTATTTGTCCTTTGGGCCTCTAGTGGAACATAGGGCTTCAGTAGCACATCACCATTTCACTCTCCCCTCTCCAGTCTTTCCAACCTGGCTCCACCAATGCCCACAAACTTTCATTTCTTCCTCACATGATCTCCTTCATGTCACCACCCTCGGACACCCAACTCGTCGTTTCCCATTTGGATTCCATCCGACGGCCTGGTGCGTGATATCTCCTATTGGCTTTCTCAGTGTATGCCCGATCCAATCCATCTCCACTTTCTTCTGCACACTGGCTAGGCGATAGGTTCTTGGTTGGTTCGTTGCCAGCCAGCCACAGTTCCTCCTTGCTTATTATTATAATTATAATTATTCTTATTATTCTCGCCATCTGATCTCCATCTTCAGTATTGGGTAAGTGTAAGTGGCAGCTGTTCATGTGATGGATATGTGCAGTTTGTTGGAAATGTTTATCGTAACATGGCGCCAACTCTCTCAACCATCATATACAACCACTGATTTACTTCACTTACATTAGTGTTGAAAATCCGGATCTTGTTCTTTATACAGAGTAGAGTAGATATTATTCAAAATCAATGGTTATTTATATCTGATGAAACAGAAAATTCTGAAGCTGTGGAGTGGGTGGACAATAAACGGAAATCAGTTTAAGAGAAAGAACTGTTTAAGAGCTAATAGGTTATGTAATTACATGAAACACTTGAAAATTGTTAGGTGATTAACAGTCAGTAACTAATTAACGGAGAGATGATGCAATGAAAAGAGAAGGGAAGAGTGTATGCATGCACATACACATGCAAAAATTATCTACAGTTACCAAGGTAAAGAAAGGTTAATTACAGTCTCCTTTTGAGTATATAGGTCCGGTTAAAAATGTTTGATAGCGAGAGTTTCCGCAAACTGTAATAAACATGGTGTTCGTTGTTTGTTGATTAACCTGAAGGATTGAGAAACATCCATTTAATGTCCTATTTCCATCAAATGACTGGCGATTGAGCTCTTAAAAACCTTCCTACCTTTCAGATACAGATTTCTCAGAATATATTGATAAAATCGAGTAGACGCCACAAATTTCACTCCGTCCTATGTACTTGCTTCCATAAGCACAGATGAATTGATATACGCAGTTCGAGGTGACGTAAGATGGATATTTGTCTACTTTCGAATATGTTATTGAGTATAATGTATCTACAAATAGTATCCATCATAGACTGACGTCATTTGTGGAAATTCACACGGACACATAAGAAGCAAAATAATAACACTAATACAAATACAAATAATAGTGACAACATAAGTAGAAAGGAATTCAACACCTCTATTGTGATACCATACAAGGAAGGAACATCAGAAACCATACGTAGGATTCTCTACAAGGTTGGAATTAGGGTGGCATTTAAACCAACAAACTCACTTAGAGGTAAGCTGTGTCGGCTAAAAGATCCGATAGAACCAATTAGGCAAAATAATATAATCTACCAAATTCCATGTAATGACTGTGAGGTCAAATATATAGGTCAAACTAGCCGGTCGGGGGCAGTTAGATGAGCAGAACATAGGAATTTAGCTAAACATAGAACGGCAGACCCCATTAAGATCAATAACCTAGAAAAACACTCGGCCATTGCATTACATTCATTAACACACAACCACACAATGGGGTGGGACAAAACCACTGTACTTAAGTCTAATATAGCTAGGTGGAGAGAGAGAGATTAATTACTGAATCTTTCTTCATCGAATCCACACCCAACACATGTAATAGGAATGACGCAACACCTATACCAGAGATATGGAAAACTTTACTACCAATCAAAAGACAAAGAGAGATCAGGTGACAGGACTATAAAATCAGATATCCGAAGAGCTGTGTGATTACATTGATATGATTATGAGCAGTAATAATTTATGCTTGAAACGTAATCAAGTAAATCATACTGTATCACTGTGCACTTTATATCAAATAAACAAATCTAATATGGAACTACATTCTACCACAGTGCCCAAGTTTTTCACTTATATTAATAAAACCCGATTGTCTCTTTAATTTATAACACAGAGTGATCTAGTATTATTTATTTGATGACGTTTCGATCACTAATTACTTATTCCTCATAATCATATCACAATGTTATCACACTCCACTTTCAACATTCTATTTTTATAGTCATGTCACTTCATTCATATGAGTTGTTAACATTGGTAGCAAAATTTTCCATATCTCTGGTATACGTGTTGCATCATTTCTATTCCACATGTGTTGAGTGTTGATTCGATGAAGAAAGATTCAGTAATCAATCTCTCTCTCTCTCGCTCCACCTAATTATATTGGAGTTAAGCAGTAGAGTGGTTTTATCCCACCCACCCTATTGTGTGGTTGTGTGTTACTATGCATGCATTGTAATGGCTGACTTACTTTCTAGATTATTGATCTTATTCAGGTCTGTCATTCTACATTCGGCTCAATTCCTATGTTCGGCTATTCCAACTGACCCCGACCGGGTAGTTTCATTTATGTACTTGACCTCAAAGTCATCACAGGGAATTTGATAGGTTAGATTATTTTTCTCAATTAGTTCTATTGGATCTTTGAACCGTCAAAGCTTATCTGTGAGTGAGTTTGAAGGTTTAAATGCCACCCTAAATCCAGATTTGTTGAGGATCCTAAGTAAACTTTCTAATATGTTCCTTCCTTATGTGGTAACGCAATAGAGGTTGTGAAGTCCTTCGTACTTGTCTTGTCGTTACTGTTCCTACTCGTTTGACTGTTACTTTTTCGTTTCTTGTGTGTTCGTGCGGATTTCTTGAAAAAGTGAGGAGGATAATTACTAACTATTAGTGCTTCTTTTACGTGTTTCAATTCCTTGTTTAGGTCCTTGCAGTAACTAATCAGTTTTCTAGCTCTATCATTTAGACATTTGACTAAGCCTGCCTTAACTGACATTGGATGGGATGAACTGAATTCTAAATACCTGTCGGTTTTCTGTAGACGGTAGTATCCAAACCACCATCTATCCTTTGTTTTATCGTGCTATCCAACATAGATAATTCTCCTTGTTCATTTTCTACCTCCTCGTAAGTGAATTAGATTGTGTCTACTATTGAGTTAATATGTATGAGGAAATTGTCGATATGTTCCGATTTCAACACTCTAAATGTGTCATCCACATATCACCACCATATCCTCGCTGGAGGATTAAACGTTTGTAAAGTCATATTTTCCCAACTATCCATAAATATATCTGCTACGATTGCGTATACTAGTAATCTCATTGCTACTCCTTATGTTTCTCAATATATTTTGTCGTGAAACTTGAAGACTGTGGAGGTTAGGCACAATTGTACACCTGATATGATCTCATCAACAGACATCTTAGTTCTGTAAGTTCGGAGTTATTATTTCGTTGACTTCTGACTGATTACATTGATATGATTATGAGCAATAATAATTTATGCTCGAAACATCATCAAATAAATAATACTAGATTAAAGTGTGCTATAAATCAAATAAACAAATCTAATATGGAATTGACAGGGGAACAGCTCAGTGGTAGAGCTGTGGACTTCAGGCCAAAAGGCCTGGGGTCAAAACCCCGTCACTTTGCCATTCAAACAAACACCAACGGCCGGCTAACACATGACACTCCTTTTTTGGGCATACACAGAAGGCTGACTGGGGACATCACGCGTCAGGCCAGGCACTCGATGGAACCCAGATGGGAAACGACGAGTTGGGCATACCAGCTGAGGGTGACATGGAGGAGGTCGTGCGAGGAGGAAATGAGAGCTTGTGGGCTGTCATGGAGCCAGGTTCAAAAGATTTCAGAGAACAGAGTGCACTGGAGACGTGCTACCTGAAGCCCTATGTTCCACTAGGAACCCAAGTGAGAAATAATAATAACAATAATAATAGTATGGAATTAAATTCTACCACAGTACCCAAGTATTACACCTATACTAATAGAACCGATTGTCTATCAGTTGTGGAGTGTACTACAACACAACAGCGTGTTTCAGTAGCTTATAAATAGATGAAACATTATCATTAGAAATCGAGAAATCTTCAAAATATAAAGCTGTTTCATCCTAGTATGGGATTCCACAGTAGTGCACTCCTATGACCCAGCCAGAGATCAAATCCAAGACCTTCAAGTTCGATGGGCAGTACGTCAACATTACGTCAATAGGTTGGGTACTCCCATATTCCCAAGGTTTCTCTAATTGATGTCAATCTATGATGAATGCCAACTTGAAATCAATCAATCTTTGGAAACCTTCAAATCGATCTATTTAGCATGTTTCATTTGATCCTATGTAATATCATTTTATTCCATTCACAGTAATCGATATCACCACCTAAAAGTTATAAAATGAATAACTATAGGTCAAACACACACACATACGTACAACAAAATTAATTAACCTGTAGAAAATAAACCAAAACGAAAGAAGAACTTACGCACGATCAAATTTTTTTTGACGTTCAATCACTGTAGAATGTAGAATTGGATCAAATCGCATACATGGTGGATAACGTGCACCTAATCGTATCAAGTCTGTTTGTCTTGGTCCTATCCACAAATTTTCATTCTCTATCCAACAGACTTGATCAATAGTCAATGTAGGCAATAATACTTTACCGACAATACGTGTTGCTATGCCTAAACCAATCGGTGCAAATCCATAACCAATTGAACCAGTAATGAATATGAATATGTGTACAAATGATATCCAATAGGTAAAGTATGGTCTGTCTTTTTAAAATATATAAGAACAAACAGTATATGAGATTTATTTATCAAGATATGCTTTGAATACATTAATGAAGCATAGTTATTTATGAGAAAATAAGAACAATGAAAAATAGTCTAATGTTCAAAAAAGGCGCATTTGGGATTTGCCAATTTGTGTCATTTGGGGAGTCGACTGGTGAGATATCCCACTACTTATCAAAGGACAAGTGTACTGAGCTACAGTCTGGTCTATCCTGTTATACGGCTAGGGGACATGGCCATTAAAAGTAGAAGACGTGAAGTAATTAAAGGCTTTTGATCATAGATGTCTTCGTAGAAATGCTCGCGTTTGGTAGAATCACCATATGAGCAATGTTGTAGTCAGGTGAAAAGTACTAGACAATAAATGCAAGTTGGTCAATGATGTTGTGAACCTTCATCGACTGAGATGGCTTGGGATATGTGCTGCGCATGCCGAGGCACCACGCATCTAGATGTGCTATGCTAAGAGAAGTTGGATTAGGTTCGAAGAGGGTTCATAATGGCCACACCAAGACCTGATACCAGTCAATGAACTCTCTGACTGGAGGTTCTCAAGACGAAAAGAATCAGTGGTTGAGAACTTTTGGTGACATGACCGAAAATAGGTTACAATGGTGGATATGTATTTACTCCTTCATGTTCTCTAAAGCTTCGAATGTTTATTCTCTTATACAACTTTGTCTACTTTAATATCACTGTTTTTCTATTCACTTGTTCTTTGTATGCTGTGAAATGTTGCAACTGAGGTGATGCACATGTGTGCGAGGTTCTACGTCAATTCCGTCAGTCAGTCATTGAACACGTGGCTGTCATTATAGCATCGTACTATCCCTAGACATCATCAGTAGGTGAAGTAGTGAATGGTTAACGACGCTAACCGCCTGACTGGCCGACTAGCTAACCAATTTTTATACTTTGATCAGTTGAGAAATCAACCAGGTACGGGAGACTGGATTATTTACCGGGCTATGTGAGCTACAGTTATACTGTATGTAAGAGAGTTGATAATACTTACTGGTTGATCAAGCTAAAGTAGGCAGAGCTAGATGTAAAGCTAGCTGGCTTTGACGTCCTCATCTGTGCCATCTGCAGTTCACACGATGCTGCCCTGTATAGGTAAATGTAGGTGAAACAGACTACTCCCTTCACATTTATTCCGTTCGTCGTGATTATTACTTCTTGTTGTTTTCGTCATTTGCTAAGGCATCTTCATCACCTCTGTCTTCTCTACATTCACTTCAAGTACCATCTTCCCTTCCTCTTCTGTCAACTTGTTGGCTTTCACCTGTACACCTTCAAGCATCTGCAACATCACACAAACATAAATCATCATCGCGAAATCAAAATCTTCTTCTAGCCTCTTCATCGCTCCAGCCAGTCTATACCCATCTTCTCACTACTCACAGTTGTCTGTTGCATATTCCAGTCAAGTCAAGTCAACTCGAGTCCAGTCGAGTCGAGTCCACCACAATCAGCAAGATCATCGGTGATGATAGTAGGCGCCGACCTTGTCTTACTCCCGTCCCCTGTCTTCATTTCAAAGATGTCACTGAGCTTTACATTGTCAATAACTCGGCATGTAGCATCACATAACATAGCATAGCATAGCACAGCATATAGCTGCTGTCGAATGAAGTTCATAAAGGTTTGTGGCACTAAAACCGTGTTGTTGAATCACCAGCTACAGCTACCTGCCAAATTATTTCTCGTTCGATGCTGTCGAAGGCCTTTTCAAAATCGATGAAGTTGAGGTAAAGATCAAGTTGACTGCCATTATATGCTCTGTTCTATCATGGTAACTAAACCTTATTGGTCTTTCTTTTTTGACTGCAATTCCAAAACGAATAAAAGTTCGTTTTGAAAGTGAATCCTGGTTTACGACTGACATTTTGATGTCCATAGTATATTTGCCTCAGTAGCAACACACTTTGACATTTTGAGATTTATGCTCACCATTCCCTACTGAGTTTAAACTGGCATTGTTTTTATCTTACAGTAATGACACATGTGTATGTATATGTATGGGTAATGAGCTTCCCCATTTCTGCACCGGAAGACATAGAGACATATGTTAATCTGGATCGCATTTACCACAGTGGTCGAGTATATAAGATACTTCAGTGCTACCAGTTCTGCTCTATACCATTTCAAAAAGAGGATGTTGAATTTCTCCTCAATTAACCCCAATCCTCATAGGATAGTTACCATCCGAGGATGATATCAAATAATTCTAAGGCTCTGTGTGTTTACAAAGAGTACAACTTGCTATTCGATACTTGAAGTTATCTAGAAAACATAGGATTCCATTTCTGAAACGCATCTCAAGAGTTGACTGTAAAAATAGAAGGCGAGAAGTAATCAGTTTATGATATGTAACGGAGGAAAATTGAGTTATTGTTATAGTATGTATTAAAATTGACAAAATTTTCAGAAGAAGCCGAAATCCTTAAAGCCTATTACGACCAATAGTTCTATTCCAAAGTTTCAGGAGGAAACATGTGAAACAACGTGTAAATATCATCAAATCGATTGAAGGGACAATAAACAATAGAGTATTCAAATCTAGAAAGACCATGAACATAGCCAACGTCATTGTAAATAGATATAAACCCGTTGTATTTTGCATATGTTTTTAATGTTGCAATACACCGTCATTATGTTACCACCTTTTCCACTTATCGAGAAAACTTAGCAACTATCAAGAGGTGGAATCTGGAGGTTACTGTTCAAGCCTCCGCATATATATATATATATATATATATATATATATATATATATATATATATATATAACTCAAGCTATATAAAAGTAACAACAGCGTTACAAGTGGCAATGAGGTCAAACTTCTTTATGCACCATAGCTCCTTGTATAAGCTGTCAAAGATTATGCAACTTTTGGCAACTTAAAATAATTTCAGATATACCTCAATAAGCAAAGTCTAACAATCCATATGACTACAAATACATTCAATTCTCAGGAATTTCCGATAATAGGTTAACATTAATTAAGAAAAGCATTTCCAACAAACTACAGATATTCATCAACGACTGCCACCTACACTGGCTCGATACTGAAGATCAGATGGCTAGAAAGAATAAGCAACAAGGAACTCTGGCTGGCTGGCTGGCTGGCAACGAACCAACCAAGAACCCATCGCTCAACAAATATGCACTGAAAGGAAGTGGAGATGGATTGGGCATACACTGAGAAGACCATTCGGGGACATCACGCGTCAGGCCAGGTAGTCAAGTGGAACCCAGATGGAAACGACGGGTTGGGCGTCCGAGCTGAGGGTGACATGGGGGAGGTCATGTGAGGAAGAAATAAAAGCTTGTGGGCAGTTGTGGCTCCAGGTTCAAAAGATTTCAGAGAACAGAGTGCACTGGAGACGTGTTACTGAAGCCTTATGTCACACTAGGAACCCAAGGGACAAATAAATAAAAATAATATAGGTTAACATTAAACATTGGATTTTAAGCAAACTATTCTGACTTATTCAAATTCAACCAACACAAAATGCTGAAAGTAAACCAATCAGAGTGTGATTTTAAAGGTTCATTCGCCTAACAATTACTCAAATGACTAACTAGGTATCATTATTTTATAAAGAAACTACCATATCAGTTGAAATAGAGATACCAAATCAGTTGATAGAGTGTGACCTTTAGAACCATTCATATATTATTATTATTATTATTAGTCCCTTGGGTTCCTAGTGGAACATAGGGCTTCAGTAGCACGTCTCCAGTGACCTCTGTTCTCTGAAATCTTTCGAACCTGGTTCCACCACAGCCCAGAAGCTCTCATTTCCTCCTCGCACGACCTCCTCCATGTCACCTTCGGACGTCCAACTCATCGCTTCCCATGGGGATTCCACTCGAGTGCCTGGCCTGACGCGTGATGTCCCCAGTCGACCTTCTCAGTGCATGCCCAATCCATCTCCACTTCCTCCTGCATATTTGTTGCGTGATAGGTTCTTGGTTGGTTCGTTCCAGAGCACCTTGTTGCTTATTCTTTCTGGCCATCTGATCTTCAGTAGCGAGTGGGCGTAAGCAGTTGTTGATGAATGTCTGTAGTTTATTGGAAATCTTTTTCGTAACGCAGAACCATTCAACAATCGTGTAAATATGCACATAATATAAACAAAACAAAAAAGGCGAAACCATTTACACAGAAAAACTTTACGAAGAAAATGACGCACCTATACTCTATATAATCAGTTGTTTTATTACGAAATATATCTTCTGTGATAGTATCTTTATATGGAGTGAAAATTGCTGAAGCCCAACGTGTTGGAGTTAGTAAACTTTCAGTTAAACGTCTTGTTCTGGATGGTATTATAACTGGCTTCGATTGAATATTTATTGATGATATTGTAACAGATGGTCGTGAACGTTTTTCTCCAATCGTTTCACGTACTATAAGTGTTCCAAAAAAAAAGTGTTTACAAGTTTACATCACTAGAGGAGTGATGGTAGTCATGGAGTAATAATCTAAGAAAGATAAAATTACTTCACTCCTGGAGACAGTTAATTTTACATTCTTCAGTTATCTCAGTTTGTTTTAAACTTGTTGTATCTACCGTTCTTATCAGTAAATACTGATTAATCCAAACGGTTAACTAGATATGATAATTTGGTTGGTTGTGGGTAGCAGAAGAATCCAGGACGAGCGTTTTGTTCTATTTGGAACTCAGTGTCATAGTGGATAACGCCTCAGCGTTTGAAGCGATGGGAACGGGTTCGAGTCCCAGTGGGAACAACACTCACTAAGGTGCAGATACATCCAGCTGACGATTCCCGAATAGGACGAAACGCGCATCCTGGATTCTTCTGCCAGCCACAACCAACCAAATTAACATTCAGGCAATATCAAGGCATCCGCATATGCCAACAGAGGTCGAACAATTCGATTCAATAAAAACAACGGAGAATTACAAGTATATAAACAAATAGTAGGTTAACTAGATGATTACCCCTTCAAATAATGTGCTAGGACAACCTGGGAACTGACATCAGAATTAGACAAGTTAGATCAGTCAACTACTAGTAAATGTAGACGATAAATATTTCATGATAATTAAGCTAACTGCATACTTATGAAATAAAACGTGCACATAACAATAAAGCGTGATCTGTACATTCGTGTATATATGTTACAGTAGGCAGAACATTCCAGAACTAGTTCCCGTCAGGTAGAAAAATATATTGAATAACTAAAGGAAGTTAATTAATACATATTTGGGTTTAGAGTGGGAAAATAGACAATGGATTATAGAAGTATACCTCCAGTTATCTAATACAGGATAAAACTATGATAATCAAAGCTTTATGATGGCCATTGCAAACATAAAGGTTGGACGTACCTTTTTTGGACGCATAACGCTGATTTGAACTTTTGGGTAGCTAGTACTTCAGCTATAGACAAATGTCTTGATCATATTCCTTCGAGTGGTTTGACCAAACTCTGTAGAGAATTTTCAATGAACTCTCAAAAAAAGGTAAGTGGCCTGAGTTCACGAGGTGTTCTGTTATTAAACTGAAGATATATCTCCGTTCTCCCTTTGCAAGCTGGGCTGGGTAGTGTTTCAGGGCACGTTTTACAAGTGGACGCATGGTACGGTCAATGTTGTTCGGAAACGATTGTCAAAATCCTTAAACAGAACATACTTCGCAGCTAACCTTCGGATTATTTTCTCTTGCAAGAAACGTTTTGGTCAATGTGTGAAAGACAAGCCGACGCATTGGGCCACATCAGTGTGTGTATACCAGTTTACTTGGTCTTGTGGAGCTAAATACATAGGTCTTACCAGGCGTCTGCTTGTAAAACGTGCCTGGCAACACTACCCAGCCTGGCTGGCAAAGGGAGAACAGAAACCTATCTTCAATTTAATGACAGAACACCTCGTGAACTCAGGCCACTTAGCTCCTTTTGAGAGTTCATTCGAAATTCTCTACAGGGTTTGATCAAACCACTCGAAGGGAGTAAGATTAAGGCATTTGTTCACAGCTGAAGCACTAGCTATCCAGAAGTTAAAACCAGCGTTATACGTCCAACCTTTATGTTTGCAATGGCCATCATAAAGCTTTAGTTATCATAGATTTATCCTGTATTAGGTAACTATACATGTATTTTCAGAATCCCTTGCTTATTTTCCTACTCTGTCAAACGTTCATTCTGTATTACACAATTACGTTTAATTTCATAATCTCTTGTCTATTTTCCCATTCCCAAATGTGTATTAGGGACTTCAAGTGAATATAGAGAAGACAGAGGTGATGAAGATACTCAACCAACCAACCAACAATAACAACAAGAAGTACCAATCACCATGAACGGGAGAAATGTGAAGGAAGTAATCTCTTTTACCTACAGCTACCTATGCAGGGCAGCATCGTTTCAACTACAGGAGGTGGCGGCGTCACAGATGAGGATATCAAAGCCAGCCAGGGTCGGAAAGACAGCAAGATAGGCCTTCGTGCATTGATGTGAAACCAATCGGTGTGGAGATCTACTCACTGCCAGTGCACTAGGCATATAGCGTGAACAAGATCGGATTTTCAACACTGATGTCAGTCAAGTAAGTCAGTGGTTGTATGTGATGGTTGAGAGAGTTGGCACCATGTTACGATAAACATTTCCAACAAACTGCACACACACATCACATGAACAACTGCCACTTACACTTACCCAATACTGAAGATGGAGATCAGATGGCGAGAATAATAAGTAAGGAGGAACTGTGGCTGGCTAGCTGGCTGACTGACTGGCTGGCAACGAATCAACCAAGAACCTATCACCTACAGTGTGCAGAAGAAAGTGGAGATGGATTGGATCGGGCATACACTGAGAAAGCCAATAGGAGATATCACGCACCAGGCCGTCGAGTGGAATCCAAATGGGAAACGACGAGTTGGGTGTCCGAGGGTGGTGACATGAAGGAGATCATGTGAAGAAGAAATGAAAGCTTGTGGGCATTGGTGGAGCCAGGTTGGAAAGACTGGAGAGAGGAGAGTGAAATGGCGACGTGCTACTGAAGCCTTATGTTCCAGTAGGAATCCAAAAGACAAATAATAAATAATAATCGTAATCCCTAGTCTATTTCCCATTCTAAACTCAAATGTGTATTAGCTTCCTCTAGTTATTGAATATATTTTACCCGCTGACGGGAAATAGTTCTGGAACGTTCTACCTACCGTAACATATATTCACGAATGTACAGCTTAGTAAATGACTTCGTCGAGAAGAACACTTTTTGTTCGCAACAACCACGTCTTATCTTTCCATATGATCAAATACGTGTATTCCGATGCTTAAAGCGTGATCTAATGCTCACAAATGTTACCTAGCATACCACCAGCTAAGAGTATTTAGTTGTTCCGTGATCTTTGTTGTCCCTCCTCGGTTAACTATTTATTATCCGATAGGCAAATCCTAGTTACAACATTCGGTATCAAATATTCCGCAAGTTGCTATCAAGACTGTGGCTCACTGGTCAAAGCATTTAACTCTTAAGCGGTGGATCGCATATTTGAGCCGAGCTGCAGCTAAAAAGATCTGGGAGGTAAGGTAGTTATTATAAGCGCCCCCCTACCTTGACTGGTACCTGAAAGAAAAAAAGAACCAATGGAGCATCTAATTGATGCATGTTACACATACATATGGCCTTTTGAAAATTATTCTAACGCTGGATAGAGAAAGCCTATACCACAGGCTCCGAAAGACCATGGGGCAGGGAGGAGCGTGCTACGTTTTGGGGCTGACCCTTTCCAACCCCCTACCCCGTCTCCAGGGAAGGCATCATCAGTGTCACTGCTGGTCACCCAAGGGAAAAATCTTACAGTTATCATACCCCATCCAGCCGGCAGTACGACTTCACCCATCATAGTGTGGCAACTCACACTACAACGGTATCTGCTTTTCGTCTTACCACTATCCAACAGACCTTTCTAGCATGGTAGGACCCTGAGGAATCAAGCGTTCCAACCAGTTTAGCTTGATTGGTTATTGTGATATACAAGCCCGACCACCACGTCAAGATAGAAGTTACTGGCCGGTTTGAAAGCCTACTCCATAAACAATACATGATAGCTAAATTTATGATAATAATCATTGTGTATTCAGCTGTTTCACTCAAGTAAACGAATTCGTGGATTAGTACTCTGTTGGACTAAACACTGAATCAAAGGCTTGTTGACGTTATAATACAATGTACCCATTAGTTAGCTTAAACAATCATTGACACGTTATTCATCAGAAAGATTATCACTGTGAGATCATTATTATACTATTATGAACTTAAACCAACACATCACGTAATGCTGCAGTTAGAGATAAACTTTGAGTGAGTATCAACTCCCTCAAGTTTGTAGATACGCCTTTTTGATGAATGCTAATAGAGACGAAATCCAGAGTCAGAGTGGTATAAAGTAATCCATTGTATGGAATGACGATTAAATGATAGTCGATTGGTTTATTGATAATGATACGATATGATGTGGTGTGGCATGGTGTAGTTAAATGATTAGCACTCAAAAGGACTGATTCCATTCGATTTATGACCATCTTCAAAACTGAGTAATAGCATCTCGTATCCCGTACTGTATTATACTATCAAGTAAAACTGTTGCGTATATAAACAACTAATGCTACTCAAAATGATGTGAACAGAAGCTATACTACTCAAAATGTACATTCTATTAAGAGTAGAAATCGAAATAAAATCCATTCAGTAGGCAATCAAGTTCATACAGTAGCCAATAAGCTAAATCAATTGGGTGACAACGAATGATACTACTTAGCTGCTGAAACTTCAATAGGTAGAGCTGGGTTCGAACCCGTTGCCCATCAGTTAGAAGTCGGGTTCCTAGACCAATGAGTCATAGCTTCACACAATTCGATAATAATAATAAGACTGAAGATCATCATATAGTCAATGATTTTTGCTTATTTAAAACTGTCTTACTGTCTAATAAATTATAGAAGGTCGAATATAAGTTGAATAGATAAAAACAACTGGAAATCAGACATCTTGTACATTTCGGTATAAGATATTATGAAATGTAGCAATTGGATTAGGCTTAAAGTGATATTAATTGGTTGTTGAAGTGAAATTTTAACCGATGATTCAATCATTATTAGTAAAATCAACTACCTACACCCTCAGATTTACACTTTTCTTACTATTGCACAAATCACATAGATGATTAGTTCAACACTAGTCGAAGTGATTAGGGTAGGATTTTTAAATCAAATTGAAGTTATCTAAGTCATATACCATCCAGTGTTTGAAGCAAAGGGTACTAGGTTCCAGCCTCAGTGAGAACAACATCACTCATTTGAGTGTAGGCACATCCAGCTGACGAGTCCCAAATAGGACGAAACACGTATCCTGGATTCCTCAGCTAGTCACCAAGATTAATATAACATGATATACAATCATGTCTATCCGTTCTATTCAAAGTTAAATAGTACCGTTATTATAATGCTAACGATAAACTATCCGTGAAGTGAATATATTGAAGGTCACAGGTATGTGACCATTATTGGCTTTCATAAAATAACTCATATGTAACAGAATCACTTTGCCAACAATGTAGAGGTTAGGTGCATAAAGTAATAAGAGTGAAGAGTATAAAATCAGTTGATGAAGTTGTCAGGGGTATGCATTGCTCATTGTGGGCCATTATTCACCCTGGAATGTTACGTTACCTAAAGTAAGACTAAGTTAGAAGGTTATCTATGATGCTTTAGCCAATAGGTAACAACAGATTCTAAAATACTTACAAGTAAAACTATTGGACTGTTGAAATGATAAATATGAATCACGAAGGTCAGCTGGTAATGGACTGTTAGGAATGATATGACCATCATCATCATCATCATCATCATCAACCTCAACACCAACCTCCTTAGTTATCATCTCAAATTCAGGTGATTTCCGCTCCACTGAAGTATCAAAACGCGCCATATTATTGTTGTTAATGTCATCCTCAGTGGTGGCGGCGGCGGTGACATTATTATCATCAATATCCACTCCTTCATGGCCTGATGTTGAATCAGCTAGAAACGGTGTTTCTTCATGTTTTGTATCTTTTAAAGCCATCCATTTCGCATTATTCCACTGGTTGTCAGTTATATCCAATTGAAATGATCTACCTGCCGGTGCTGAATGAAAACGCTTGAATCCAGTATCAGTTGTCTACGAAAAGAAAAAGAATTGTCAGTATAAAGACGCCTACTAAACTATATGCTACGAACAATGGAAACTGTTCGTGATGTATCCCATAAAGTACGTATTATTGAGATTAGATAAGTTGTTTGCAATGGATATGCTAGAATAATTTACAAATTACAAAACTACTCAATAGGAATTCAATGATAAACCGATGAGAAGACCCTAGAAGAACATTTGGATTTTGCCAAAGATGATTTATGTCTGCCTGTCTACGCTCGTTACTGAAGCTGAGATGGCCAGAAAGAATAAGCAACAAGGAACTCTGGCTGGTTGGCTGGTAACGAACCAACGAAGCAAGAACCTATCACCTAACAAATATTCAGTGGAAGAAAGTGGAGATGGATTGGGCATACACTGAGAAGACCATTCGGGGACATCACGCATCAGGCCAGGTCGTTGAGTGGAATGCAAAGGGGAACGTCGAGTTGGGCATCCCAGCTGAGGGTGACATGGAGGAGATCATGTGCGGAAGAAATGAAAGATTCCGAGCTGTCATGGGTCCAGGTTCAAAAGACTGCAGAGAAGACAGTGCACTGGAGAAGTGCTACTGAAGCCCTATGTTCCACTAGGAACCCAAGGGAAAAATAATAATAATAATCATTCGACGTTGTCAACAACCATCCACATCCCTACTCCTTATTTACTTGACTCTGTAGACGTGTCATCTAGAAACATCGATTTTCATGGCTTGGACATGTGTTATGCATGTTATCCCAACACCTTCTATAAGGTTCATTGTTTGCTAGCCCTGTGACTGGATGGAAGGAGCAGACAGGTGATCAGTGTATGACGTAACGCCGCGGGATGAGAAATAGTTGTATCGGGTTAGCATCTGTTCATACATCACGACTGTCTGGGCGAGGTCCGAGACATCACTGAACTCAGTGGCTTGAGACTTTATCAGTCAGGTATAGCTCAGAATCAAAACCAGTGGCGGTCATACAGTAGCTTTCGTCTACCTTTTATTGCTGAAAGTTAATGAATGTTTTCTTTCGAATGTATCTTATTGTACAGCCTTCCTAATCACTCTATTTTTATCGTGTTTTTTTCTTTCTTACTTATCCACTACCCATTGTTTATGGTTTTCACAATGTTGTTATACTATTTTCTATAGTAAATTTCTTGGTGCTGTTTTTGCATTATGTCTGTGTTTGAATAATAAATATAATAAAATGAAAGGTGTTTATCGAAATTTCTCCTGAACTTTGCATAATCCGTTAGACTGATGCCAATTAGTAAAGAGGACAATCTACCCGGCGGTAATGAATACGATCAGAAAATTACTGAATTGAAAACATTAGCTTATCCAAATGACTCCATATTCTAGTACAATAAATTTGAGAGGCCAAGACTTCTGATTTTGTCTTCATAACATATATGACAGTTTTCTTATCACTTCATTAATACATATTTAAGGCTAATAAATTCAAGGTAGAAGGAAAACTTAGCTGAAGTGAAATTTCAACCAACAACCTATGAATAACTATTTCAGTGTTTCACTGATAGAGGCACGACAAACAACTACTAGCCAGGTTTCAACATCTTTTAGTCCTGCTAACAAGAGTACGCAACTATGTATTCCTCATCACACTAGTTATATATTGTATTGATTGGATTGTATTCTCTGAGTTGGGTTGTTTAATCGTGGAGCTTTCATAGTCTTTCTACACATCATCACCACTAACTTCATTATGAACTGAACTGTCAATATCTCTCCATGAGTAATTTAGTGGCTTGCTCTGACGATTTGGTCTGTCATTGGTTGTTTCCTTCGACTGTTGTGTTATTGACTGACGACTGCATAGATTTTCCTGTCAACTGTTCCTCTGCTTCACCTTTGAACTTCCTGTCTTCTATCATTTTTCTTACTGATTGGTAGATTGGGTCTATGTCTATACATCTATTGACGGCTGACTGAATGACCTGAAAGCCAAGCTTCTAGGAATTCATTCTTCTTTGTGTTTCCTCTCTCCCTCCAAAATTTCTACATTGTCAAGACTGAATTCATGTCCATAGTTGTTATCCACGTGCATTGAAATGAGTGATGAAATGTCATGTGTGACGTTTAATAGCCAATTGGTGTTCATGAAAAGGAAAGCAAAAAGGGTGACCACTTTGTCCAATGTACTGTTGACTACAGTTATTGTAGTTGATTTTTAAACCATGTTCGGTTTGTCTTCTTTGGTTGTAGCATCCTTTGGTCTGCATAACAGTGTTTGTAGGGAATTTGTTGGTTTATGAGCCACACCAATTCCATCAAGTAGTGTCAGTAATTTTGTCGTGATTTCTGATACATTTTCTTTATGTACAGTAGGATGATGCGTTTGTTGATTTCTGTCGATGACTTCGTTGTTGATGTTGTACTGGATAGGCATCTTCTGATAAAGTTTCGTGGGTAGGTGTCCTTCTTCAGGATACACACCAAGTAATTTTCTTTGTTTCTCCATGAAGTTGTTGTACTACAATGCAGTGTGTTGTCACTCTTTTGAATAGAGTCTGCAGGCAGCTAATTTTCTGCTTTGTTGGGTTGTTGCTACTATAGTTGAAGATTTGATCACTCAGTGTGTATTGGCTTCCTGAACACTTGGGTTTCCAGTTTCCCGGAATTTGTTCTACTGACTAGAACATCCAGGAATGGTAATTGGGTGTTTGACTCCTCCATTGTGAATTTGATGTCATTGAAAACGCTGTTGATCAAACTGTGGATTTTTTTTATGTCATCTTTTTTAATGATGACAAAAGTGTCGTCCACATAGTGAGTCCAGAATTTTGGCTTGATCATAGGTAGGATGATGGTTTCCAGTCTCTGCATCACTGCTTCGGAAATTAACCCGAATATCGGTGATCCCACTGGGGTCCCTTTCATCTGTTTGTATATCTTGCCATTGAATTGAAAGTATGCTGTCGGGCATAGGTCGATGAGTTCCATCAGATTTGAACATTTAAGTTTTTTGCGTTCTGAAAGGCTTGTGTCTTTACTGAGTAGGAGGGATATAGTTTCTTTGGCCAACTGGGGTTCGATGGATGTGTATAGTGCTGTGACGTCGAAGGATATCATTAATTTGTCGTTTTCTATTTTAATACTTTTGATCTTTTTTAAGAATTCTGCTGGTTATTTGATGGAGTGTTCACATGATTGAACAAGGTGTTTCAGTTTTTCTAGAAAGTTCGCTTGATATGTTGTATGTTGGAGTTCCTGGAAGTGAGACAGTTGGTCATAGAACGATGTCTGGTTTGTGTAGATTTGGTCTGCCATAGAACCAAGGTCCATTCGATTCCATTCGCCATCTGTCTTGCTTTGTTATTTCTTCTGCTTTGAAGAGTTTGTTCAAGGTTTTATTGACGTGGCTGTCGAACTTTCGGATAGGATTGGTTTCAAGTGCCTGATATACATTTTCATCTTTGAGTAAATCCTCTGCCTTTTTGATACAGTCTTCTTTGTTCATGACTGCCGTAGTGAGTCCTTTGTCTGCTGGAAGTATGACGATATCTCTCGCATTTCTCAGTCTTCTTAATGTTATCTGTTCTTGAGTGTTCACTTGTGTGTGATGTCTCTTCTGTCTGGTTAGTGGTACGATATTTTGCCGTATTTCTTGTTCAGTGGCACTCATTTAATCCTGACGTTTTAAGTGACGATTCTAAGAAAACAACCAATCATAAACCAGTTCGTCAGGGCAAGCTACTAAATCACTCATGGAAAGATATTCACAGCTCACTTCATAGTGAAGTTAGCGCTGATGTCGTGTAGAAAGACAATGAAAGCTTCACGACTAAACAACCCACCTCAGAGAACATAATGTAACCAAGATATTATATACATATCTGACTCACTTCAATTCCTTCTGGTCTTTTCTGCATTCGATGAAGTCGAGAATTCCAAACAGCCGACAGAATGACTTTAACTGCATGCGGTTTATGAGCACCAGGAGTAGTCGGTGCAATAGGTAAACTAAACGTTGTGATATTACTTAACTAGAAAAATATAAACGAAGAAAATTCACTTTTTAAGCTAATCAAGTCAAAAACTGCCCTACTTTACAGGAAGCAACACTAAAAAACAACTTTAGTTTGACAAGAAATGATCATTACCAGACAAGATAGGAAGACTATGTGTTACAGAATATCATTACGATGTAAAGGTAAAAGTTTCTGATTCAAACAGTCTGCTGTCAAACATTCAGTTATACAATATTTGATTTCAGTCTGGAGAAACTGACAATACCAGCCGACTAGGCAGATTAGGCGTCATCTAAAGTCCTCAATAAACACAGAACTATATGCTAATTGATGAACTGTAGCTGCTTCGTTGATTTAGGCGACCAACTTTCAGTCAGTGGCTCATCAAACGTTCAAAGCTCACTCACTTCATCGGGATCAAGATCCATATAGCTAGGTAGGTAATATTGTTAGCCCTACAATTTTAACTCAAAATGACATCGCATAATAATCAGGTACTATTCATCATCTCATTTCAACTATTCACACCATAATAAATGACAGACAAACTCAACATAGAACTTCATACACAAGTACATCCATTCAAGATGCCAAACTTGACAATAAGCACGCAAAAAAAAAAACAAAGTGGACAGAAAAGGACTAATATCAAAGTAGACAAAGGTGTATAGTAGGTATATCCTCAACAAATACAATCATGTTAACTGTTTACATAGATTAAGATTTGGTCAGCTACCACTTATCATAAAGCATAATTATGACTAGGGTAGAATAAGGTTGAAAAAAGAAGTTGACAGTGGCTAAACCAACACAAAACATCTATCCATCCCCAAAGCATAAGACTGTTAATCTAACTTGCATAGAGAGATGTGTAAACTGTCTATAATTGGCTACCATGACGATGGTTGAAGAATTCAACTGGTAAGAAAAGAAACCAACTATAACACTATATACAGATATTTTCGTTCAGAATACTCAAAATCTTAAAATCATGTTATGTCTATTTTATTATTATTATTATTATTTGTCCCTTCGGTTCCTAGTGGAACATAGGGGCTTCAGTAGCACGTCCCCATTTGCCTTTCTTCTCTTTAGTCTTTCCGACATGGCTTCACCACTCCGCACAAGCTTTCATTTCTTTCTCATTTGATCTCCTCCATATCACCTTCACCCAACTCGTCCTTTCCCATTCGTCTTCCACTCAGCTGTCTGGCCTGGCCTAGCTTAGCCTGACGCGTGATATCCCGAACCGTCTTCTTAGTCTATGTCCAATTCAATCCAGTCTATCTCCACTTTCTTCTACTGCATATTTGGTGGCCCATAGGTTCTTCCTTAGTTCGTTGCCAGCCAGCCAGCCAGAGTTCCTTCTTCTTTATTCCTATTATTCTCACCATCTCTCCATCTTCAGTATCAGTACCCAGTGAGCGAGCGTAGGCAGCAGCTGTTCATGTGATGTATGTCTGTAGTTTGTTGAAAATGCTTTACGTAACGCACCAACTCTCTCAACCATCGCATACAACCACTGACTTACTTGACTGACATCAGTGTTGAAAATCCGGATCTTGTTCACGCTATATGCCGAGTGCACTGCAGTGAGTAGATCTCCACACCGATTGGTTTCATATCAATGCACGCAGGCCTATCTTGCTGTCTTTCCGATCCTGGCTGGCTTTGATGTCCTCATCTATGCCATCTGTAGTTGAAACGGTGCTACCCTACCTAAGTAAATGTAGGTGAAACAGACTAATTCCTTTACATTTCTCCCGTTCATGGTGATTAGTTGCTTGGTTGGGTATCTTCATCACCTCCGTCTTCTCTACGTTCGCCTGAAGTTAGTCCCATCTTCCCTCCCCTGCCTCTTCTATCAACTTTCTGGTTCTCATCTGTAGATCTTCGAGCTTGTGCAACATTAGACCGACATAAATTATCATTGGCGGAATCCAAATCTTCCAGGGTCTTTTCATCGCTCAAGTGTATGCCCCTCTCCTCCTTCATAGTTTGCGTTGATCACTTTTATAACGATAAACATTCTTCTTTCTTTGATTGCGTTAATTTTAATTGACTTGTAGTGATTTAAGCTTTAGTAACTTGGAGCAATAACCAATTGTCCTAGATTTTATACCTGTTCTATCTGTTAAATAACACAGAAACTTGAATTTCATCTATATTCCTTACAGTCATATTCGTCTCTGGGGTGTTACTAAAAACTGATTAGGTCTTATCAAAGAGACAATGCAAAGTATACAAATAGACTTCAAGGAAGTGAATATATTCCTTTAATTTTTTTTAAATATTATTGATGGATGTTGGTTAGCGATAGGATTCAGAACACGTGTTTTGTCATATTTAGGACTCCTCAGCTGTATGTACTTGCCTACACATGAGCGATTGTTTCAAACGTCAGACAGTTAACCTGTAGGTCATCCAGTTACGATAGCTACGGGATAATATAAGCAATAATATAAAAATATTCCTTTAAATGTTCACAACATACTCACTTCACGTAAATAAACTGGCCGCTGAGTTTCAATTTGTGCTGGTGATCCATGTGAATAGTTGGCAAATGACACCTAAAACAATAACGTTTCATTGTTAACAACAATAATCCCACAGAAATTATATGAAGGAGGAAACAACTGAAATCTTAACTATGCATTAAAATCATTTACATTTTTTATAATGTATCGGTTGTAAAGAAACTTTGAAGATTTATTTCATACCAATCTATGTACAGGTATTATTATTATTTATAATAGTCCTGGGTTCCTAGTGGAACATAGGGCTTCAGTAGCACGTCTCCAGTGACCTCTGTCCCCTGAGATCTTTGGAACCTGGTTCACGACAGCCCACAAGCTCTCATTTCCTCCTCGCACCATCTCCTCCAGTGCCTCTGGTGAAATCCATGTCGCTTTGTGGATATCTTTGTGCCTGAACACACTGCCTCATTGCAATCACCAAATCGTTGAATGCACAGATCTGCAAACAATTCTCCATTCTCATTCATTTCACCTAGCGCCTCAGGTACAGGTATTAACACTAAGATATTAATAAGAGTCATTAGAACACGTGTAGATCGCATACAACTATCAGGAATAACATCGCCTTTTGTGTACACTTCTGAACAATTCAGGCGATTAACAATTCTATGAAAATTATAAAATATTACTTTCCACATAAAAACTCAGTTAACATTGGAATGAAACTAACTCAGTAAGTATGTGCAGTGGGTAATAAGGTAAACCTATTGTGTAATGAAGGCTGAAGTCTCTGTAGATGGAATGGGATTGGAACTTATAACCTATTAGTTGAAAATTGAACTTTACATCAATGAATCATAGCTCACAAATACAAATCATGCTATATGTGATAATTAAATCTTTTTATATTGCGTCACATTTGAATGTGCACAGCATTGATGATAGGGTGAAGCTGAAAGTTATCCCGGTTGTTATGGGATATTGCGTTCTGTACTCAAATTAGTTTACTTTACGTGTGCTGTAATGTATATTTTACTTAATTGTAACGTTTTTAAAATACTCTCTGTCACTGAATCATGTTTCATACTGTTTATTCATGAGCAAATTATTGGTTGTTTATCCACCTCCTAGTAGGAATGTAAATGCATTTATTTATCAAGGATCATGGTTACAAATTAAAGTAAGTCAATTCGACCTTCAAACTACAACAGAAAGGATTTATAATTGCAGTTTTCCACTCAAAAGCACAGTATATACATATTTTACACAGAACACACTATTACACCTGGGGATAACTTTTAGCTTAATCCTTGATGATGCCAAATTCGAACCAACGCTAACCTTCATGAATAACTTGTAAAGCTACCTTAACTGATATTAATAATAGTATAATTGTTTTTATATGATACCATCGTTGATTGGACTGAATCGATCGGTCTCTATCAGTATATGGGCTCCTGTGCGGATGCCTCGATATTGCCAGCGTTCTAATTATGTTAATGATGGATCATGGCTAGCAGTGGAATCCAGGATACGTATTTCGTCCTGATGAGAACAACATTACTCACTGTGAAGTAGGTACATCCAGCTGATGAGTCCCAAATAGGACGAAATGTGCGTCCTGGATTCCACTACTAGCCGTGGTCCATCATTAACATGATACTAATAATATTTTTTTTAATTTACAAACTAACAGAATTTACCTATGCTATCATTTTATCACAATTTTTAAGTATCATCTAAATTACCAATGGTAATCTTATAAAAAACTTCAGTAATTGATCAATGGAGTCGTAATTGAAGTGGATAAAGTATGTAACACTCGACACCTATATTGTTTACTTCTAGATCATTGATTGTTTTTTGATTTTCAATTATCCAATAAGTCAAACATCGACTGGAGAGCGTTTAGTCATACAGATTAAAATCTTTAAGTGGAAATAAACGTCCTTAAAGCCACAGACATGTCTTATTGATGAGTATGAATAAGAATGCGGTCGGAACCCAGCGAAACATTATCCCTACTGATTGACTCTTAACACTAAACACACTATTCAGTAATATTAGTAACACAAGAATATAACAGTTGAAAATTGCAGAACAAACGATCAAATAATAATAACATACTTGACGTTTAGTCATAATTTTCATTGGTTCAGCATTCGAACTTGAACCCAACTAAAATGAATAAGAGTTTGAAAGTAAGGGAAACCTAATGAAGCTTTACATTTAATAAACAATAAAGCGATTCCTGAAGTCCTAATGGGAAGTTGTAACCAGTGGAGTAAACCAAATTGGAAATGGTGCTAGTTTTACGATAGCATTGCATGGAGGTTACGCTATATCGTGAACTGACAGGAATAAGAAATGTAGATCATTGCGTTCCGACCCAGTGCTATTCAATGGTAACATGCTGGCTGTGGAAACCAAAGGTCCTGGGCTCGAACCCCGAACGCGCACTGCTGAGGAGTTTCGTGCTAGGACTAAACATCTGTCCCATACTCCCATGTTTCCAATGGTTGACCAACTGATGTCAGTCAACCTGAAATTACTAAAGCGATAATAAAAAAATTGGATATGACACCGATACCAACACCAATCATAACAGCAGCCACTACGGCAACTTACATGATGCCTTAAAGATGATCCAGATAAATCACAAGGAACCGGAGAAGTAGTCAGCTATCAATAATGCAAGCAATGCAAAAAAGTGAAGATTTTAAAAAAATTTATAGTTTTATATCATCTAATTGATAAAATGTAAGCCTGCGATTCAACAGAACAAAAATAAATACAACGACTTAGTGGTGTGTGTATGTGTGTGCATCGTGCTGGATAAAAACACAGTTCTGCATTTATTAGTAAAAACTCAACGGCTTTCATCTTATCTTTTATTGATTACTCTCTAAAACATGAAGTCATCCACAGTTAAACTACCCTGGCAGCAATTTCTGTACAAACATTTCCATACCTAATTATCATATGAAAGTGTATGACACTTAACTAAGTCTTAGTAGGCAGAGGGGAAAGTTCTAAAATTCCAGTGGTGAGACCGATGAGGCAGGGGATTTATGTGTAATCAGCCAGTTAAAAATTTTATTTTTTTTTAATATCCATTCTGTTGGAGTTCAGGAATAGTCATCAAATTAGTAAGTTCTCCTAGTCCCGACTGGATATCTTCTTTGATTACGCACCCACTACCCAACCCTTTTCTAGTTCAACAGTTCTATTTTCCTTTCATTAAGAATCACCTAAATATCTTTCCGTACGAAGAGAAGTAAACAAGAACTATTGATGACTGATGGCTTTTCGTTAGTTCCATAAGATGAAACAAATAAAAGTAAAGTACAGTACTTTTAATTACAGTTACAACAATAATAACAATAGCTTTATTCCAAATAAGACTTGTGGTAGAGTATGGAATTCTCAGCAAATAATACGTCATTATCATTTTGACTATATGAGATAGCAGCCGTGATTTGGCAGACTGATATTTATACTGGGTGACGATTGAAGATGAAGTGAAAATTTGGACTGCGGCCAAATTCGAACCAGCTACCACTGGGTTCCCGACCCGAGGCTCTACCAACTGAGTTACGAGGTCCGACTTCTGATTAGATTTTTATTTCACTTCAGTCACCATGGGCTTTGCCCAACTACCTTATGAATTCGTTACGCGTTACTATCGCTTGATCGCATTCACACTGACTGCTTAGTCAGAACTTCGTAACCCAACAGAAATTTAATTGAATTACAGAGGAAGAGCAACCTCGCCTGGTTAATTAGTTCACTAGTTACTAGCCGGTCCTAAGCCCCGACAAAGAGGGAAGGTTGGGCATAGGGCTAGCAACCCTACACCGCAAAACAAATCTAACCGCTAAAGAAACTTCAAAGCACAAACAAAATATAAAAAATGAAAACAAACTTATTCCTCCTGGAATCGGAGAGGCGAAATGACGCCAGTTGGTGAAAGCCTTCGGGAAGCCAATTGGCCGATGTGTCTCTCTCTCTCTCGATGAAAGCGAAAGTAAACGTGGGGACATGGAATGTCCGCACGATGTTTGAACCCAGCAAGGCAGCCCAGATTGCAAACGAGATGAGAAGGTATCACATCGAAGTGCTTGGGATTTGCGAAAGCAGATGGAATGGGAGTGGACTCTCCAAACTGTCAACTGGAGACGAGAATCAATAATCTACTCTGGTCACCCAGACGACAACCACGAGTACACTCACGGAGTGGCTATCATGATGTCCCAAGAGCATCGAAGGCTCTCTATCATACAGTGGGAACCAGTCTCCTCCAGGATCATGACAGCAAGATTCAACTCAAAAGGAAGGAAGGTCACAATCATACAATGTTATGCACCTACAAATAATGCAGATGAAGAGAAAAAGGAGGAATTCTACAGACAACTGCAATCAACACTGGACAAGACGTCAGTTGGCGATATCAAAATTCTAATGGGCGACATGAATGCCAAACTGGGAGGGGACAACACAGGAAGAGAACTAACCATGGGTCGAGAGGCGCTAGGTGAAATGAACGAGAATGGAGAATTGTTTGCAGAATTCTGCGCATTCAACGATTTGGTGATTGTGAGGCAGTGTGTTCAGGCACAAAGATATCCACAAGGCGACATGGATTTCACCAGACACTGGACACACTAAAAATCAAATCGACTTTATCTCAATCTCAAGAAAATGGAGACGCAGTCTACTTAACACAAGGTCAAGAAGAGGAGCAGATGTAGGTTCAGACCACTACCTAGTGCAAGGAACCTTCCAAATCAAGTTAAAAGCCTTCAAGGAAGCTGGTGATAGACCTCAATTCAAGTACAACACTCGGAAACTGAAGGATGAAACTACAAAGGAAATCTTCACGTCAGTCAGCCATCAAGACAAAATGGGAGACATCGAGCAACATCCCTGAAGAAACCTGTGTACAAGAACACTGGAAGTCTTTGAAACCTATGTGGAAAGAAACCTGCACAACAGTATTAGGAAGGAAGAAGAAAGAAGATAAGGAATGGATCTCGATGGATACCTGGAAGCTGATAGAGGAGAGGAGGATGGTGAAGCAGAAGATAAACCAGTGCAAGGATGCTCAACGACAAGAGGAACTGAGCACAATGTATAAAACACTGAACAAAGAAGTAAAGAAGAGTGCACGCAAAGACAAAAGACACTTCTACGAAACACTGGCAAGTGAAGCAGAACAGGCTGCAGGTAAGAGAGACCTGACGACATTGTATCAAATAACCAGGTTGCTATCAGGGAAGAGACCAACACAGATGAAACCAATAAAAGATGAAGAAGGAAATTTAATTACAAAAGAAGAGAAACAGAGGAAACGATGGGCCGACCACTTCAAGAAGCTCTTGAATCGACCACCACCTGCACTTCGTCCACAAATACCACTGCAGCCGCTGAATTACAAGTGAACATAAATCCTCCAACGAAAATGGAAGTCCTGAACGCCATAAAGCTACTGAAATGTGGGAAAGCAGCAGGACCAGACGGGATACCGCCAGAAGCACTGAGAACAGACGCAGAGACAACAGCAGACATGCTCACACCACACCACTATTGCAGAAGGTGTGGAAGGAAGAGAAGGTACCTGCCCACTGATTGGAAGAAGGGTTACCTTGTCAAACTGCCGAAGAAAGGAGACCTCAGTGTTTGCAAGAACTGGCGCAGAATCACTCTCCTGTCCACCCAGTGCAAGCAAAATATTAAGCCGCATCATCCTGGAGAGGCTTAAAGATGCACTGGATTCAAAACTACGACCGGAACAGGCAGGCTGGCTTCAGGAAGTACAAATCATGTGCAGACCAAATTGCAACGCTTCGCATCATCATAGAACAGAGTATAGAATGGCAGTCAGCTCTCTACCTCAACTTCATCGACTTTGAGAAGGCCTTTGACAGCGTCGACCGAGAAGTAATTTGGAAACTGCTTCAATACTAAGGAATACCACAAACCTTTATCCGCCTCATTCAACAATTATATGAAGATGCCACATGCCAGCCAAGTAATTCACAATGGGAAGCTCAGTGATGCTTTTGAAGTGAAGACAGGAGTGAAACAAGGTTGCCTACTATCCCCCATGATATTCCTGATTGTGGTGGACTGGATCATGCAGCAAACAGTGGGCAGCGAGAAGAGGGAGATACACTGGCTGGACTGCGGAAAAGAACCTAGAAGATTTGGATTTCGCCGATGACTTATGTCTAATGTCGCACAAACTCGAAGATCTACAGGCAAAAACTAACAAGTTGACAGAAAAGACAGGGCAACGAAGACGGGAATTCAAGCGAATATAGAGAAGACAGAAGTGATGAATATACCGCACTACCACCATCAACAACAACAACAAACTCCAATCACCGTCAACATGAGAAACTTAAAGGAAGTAACCTCCTTCACTTATCTAGGAAGCACTGTCTCAACTACAGGCGGGACGGACGAGGACGTCAAAGTCAGAATCGGAAAAGCAAGACAGGCGTTCATTAGCCTGAAACCAGTGTGGAGATCTTCTGCACTCAGCATGAGAACAAGATACGGATTTCCAACACCAACGTCAAGTCAGTGCTTCTGTATGGCTCAGAGACTTGGCGCGTCACGAAAGGCATTTCCAATAAACTACAGACATTCATCAACAACTGCTTACGCTGGCTCGCTACTGAAGATCAGATGGCCAGAAAGAATAAGCAACAAGGAGCTCTGGGAACGAACCAACCAAGAACCTATCGCTCAATAAATATGCATTGGAATGAAGTGTAAATGGATTGGGCATGCACTGAGAAGGCCGACTGAGGACATGACGCTCAGGCCCTACAGTGGAATCCCCATGGGAAGCGACGAGTTGGACGTCCCAGCTGAGGGTGACATGGAGGAGGTCGTGCGAGGAGGAAATGAGAGCTTCTGGGCTGTCGTGGAACCAGGTTCAAAAGATCTCAGGGAACAGAGGTCACTGGAGACGTGCTACTGAAGCCCTATGTTCCACTAGGAACCCAAGGGACTAATAATAATAATAAATAATACAGAGGAAGAGCATCACACTGATTATCATTTTGATTATATGAAGTAGCCGTAAATTAGTCAGTAATCAAACTTCATAGCTCAGTTCGTAGAGCATCGAGCCGGAAACCCAGTGGTGGTTGGTTCGAATCCGGCTGCCGTCCAAATTTTCATTTCGCCTTCAGGCATATCACCCAGTATAACAATGCATTCTCTGTACAATAATCTTTAAGTGAAATAGTCACTGCATTTGAATAATGCTAATAATAACCGTAATAAAAGCTATAGTGTGAAACAGGCACCTTATATTACATTAGCGCTTAGTTTGGACTGGTTAATGAATAGAATATTGAGCGTATTTTGGTAGTTGTAGTTGATTCATTCAGCACAAAAATTGTATTTCTTTACATTTATAAACCCATCTTTTTACGGGTGTATCGTTTATTCTTTGTTTCGCTACTGGCCTCAAAAACGGCAGTTTCAAATCATTTTAAAAGTGTACCAGGGTATGTGATGTGTTTAAAAGACATATTTATATAATTAAAACAAATTAGAGGCATAGATTTGATGAAATAAATTCCATCGAAAATAATTGATAGCCTAAAGTTTAAGCAGGCCATCAGATCAGTTTTGATAACCTGCTTAACCTGAAGGTGATCTCCATTAATTGATAGCACCTAAGCAAACTCTAAGAGTAAGGATTGTTAAATATGTTTTTATTTGGATTGGGATAACTCAAAAATCTACACTCTTCATCGCGTTCAATATCTGATCTAACAATGAAGTGAGTTATTAGTATTGACAAATTTAATAATCAGTCATTTTACAGTTAATATAGCATAAGTGATCAACATCAATATTAAGTTGAATTGTTTTCTCTCTTCGCTTCCATCCATCCATCCAGATCAACCTAGGACTAGGCATTACTGCATAACGGTCCAACTTGCCACACCTCATATCACTACATCAAGTAAAAAGGCAGTCACATCCAAGATGAAGATAAGAGAATGCAGTCAGAAGAAATATAAATTACGAGAAGAAAGGAAAGAGGAGTGACAAAATGGTGAGATTCGGTATTGCCTCGTTAAGATGAGGATAATGTGTGTATACATCTGCGCCACTCACATCGGTTCTCAGCCATATCAACTAGGGTCTCCAACCACTGGTTTCTCTTGTCCTGTGGACCCCAACCAACTAGTCTGCATCGTCCCACATGGCTCAAACCAACAGTCAGAGACTTCATACATTGGTACCATGTTTTAGTCTGGCCACCTCGGGCCTTTTTCCAGCCTGGACCTACTTCAGCTAACATTGTGTGACGAGGCAGTCGGCGACTAGGCATACGTAACACGTGTGTGAAGTTACGGTTTACTGAACTAGAGAGATAACTTTTAACGAATGAGTTGCAGGTTCGAACACTGCTACACTTACTAAGGTTCTGGCAACTAGCTAGTATCATAAGCCTTCACACACTAGGTATGGCTCGTTGCCTACTGCACGAATCTGCAACAACGTAGTTCAGCGTATTTCGATCCAATTTCCATTTACAAGGCTACATTTGTTCGCCTAAAGTTTCAAGATTTTATCGGCTCAATGGTAACGTGCTGACCACGGAACCTGAAAGCCATGAGTTCGACTCCTGGTAGGGTGAGTCATGGGTGCGTACGGGTGAGGAGTCCCATACTGCGACGAAACAGCTGTCCAGTGCTCCAATGTTTCCAATGTTCTTCCAACTGATGCCAGTTCATGATGAATACCAACTGGAAAAATCACTTAATCCGCAAAAACCCCGAAATTCAACAAATTCATTGATGATAATCCATATAGCATGGAAGGGAATTAAGTGTACAGAGAGGTAAGAAATGTAAGAAAGGAAAAACAAGCGTAAATAAATAAAGAGTTATGTAATGAGAATGAAACAAGATCAAATCATATTCATCAAGGGAAGAAGAGATTGACCATACCTCTCTTTTTGTATGCAAAGGTTAGGCTGAAAGCGTTTTATTGTAATCAGTTCGGTAGAATACACTAACCCAAACATTCTCTGGACGTTAATTATTTTAAAAGCACTCCAGGTTTGAACTTGATGTCCTGCGTCTATCCCGTCAGGTGTAGATGTGGGACAGTCAGAACAGAGTTAGAAAGAACTAAACTTTATTGAAAACTGTTTCCGAAAGGATGAATATCCTAAGAGACTTATTATGAAGTATAGAAAAGAAGAGATAGAAAGAAATAAAAAACCAACTGTGGGAAAGAAGGAAGTTTTTATACAACACCTTACACTCAGGGGAGATTCAGTAGTCAGGCTAATAGAAACAAGAATCAAAGAAGCACTAAAAAGTCAGTCTACAATTGCACATGCTCATTGAATCAGTCAAAATTGAATAATTATGGTGTTCATATCACCTCTAAGTGTATTTATGAATTCACATGCGCTTGCGACAGTAGGTACATTGGAAGGACTAAGTGGAAAGCGTTCATTCAATCCACTGAGCATACCCCCAAGAATCTGTGCTTGAAAGAAAAACTCTAACCAGTGCAACCGACAGACATCTCAGAGATCTAGATTATCAGGTTGATACATCGAGTGCTTTTGAAATAGTAAGATGTACAAAGAATGACTGAATTACTGAGTTTTATCCAGGTGATTGCAATAAAACGCTTTCAATCTGACTTTTTTACACAGAAAGAAAGGTGTGGTTAATCTCTCCTTCCCTTAGTGAATATGATTTAATCTTGTTCCACCTTCATTACGTAACTTTATTTATTTACGACTGTTCCTCCTTTCTTATATTTCTTACCTCTTTGTACGCTTGGTTCTCCTACATGTCACATGGATTATCATCAATGAATTTGTTGTACAACTTAAGATTATTGATTTCTTAATTTTGAAATATCTTATATACTGCTAATAACCATTATACTTTTAGACTGTGTGCACCTGAAGAGTATTCGTGAAATAAAGCGAAATCACATTTTATTTTGCCTGAGTGCGTTTTGTTCAGGAGCATGGAGATACGATAAGTGAGTAGAAGCCCCTCCTTTAGTTCAAATTTGCTGTAATCCTTACATACAAGGTTTGATTTCGTTGACTATTCAACAAGCTTTCTTTGGAATAAGAAGTGTTTCGCAAGGGCTTTATTCCAACTGGGTCACAAGTTGATTTGCAGGACTATATCGAAGTAATAGGTATCACTTAATCACATGAGTACAACAATAACAAGAAAACAACACAACTAGTATGTTACTTGGTTGAAGGCAATCAGCAGGAAGCCTTAGACCTAGGTTTCGTACTTTTCACTCGTCAGCAAGGCGTGCCTGCAACCTCAAGGGAACTGATGTCCCGCCTGAGATTCGAATTTGCGTCACACTGTTGTAGTCAGTAACTTTACCACTGAGCTATTCGGACCGTGCATGTAACCCAGTCCTACAGTCCCGAATAGCTCAGTGGTAAAGTTGCTGACTAAAACACTATGTGACGCGGATTCGAATCTCAGGCGGGACATCATTTCCGTCAAGGTTGCAAACACACGTAGCGGACGAGTGCTAACAAGCATGAAACCTAGGTCCAGGGCTTCCTGCTGATTGCCTCCAACCAACTAACATCTACTAACGTGCACAGTGATGCTAAGCCTCCCAGCTTGGTGGCCACACTGCAAATATAATCGATAGGATTCGATCTGCACTCAAGACTAGACAACATCAAAAAAAATTGGTTGCTCTCCCGTTTGAGGAGGTTGCTGATAAAAATGGATATAAGTAGTGTATGTTGATAGAGCGGCAGAAATAGTAGGTAATTACCAGCAATGGGTAAGGATTATGTCCAGAGAAACGCAAGAGACAACGCTGGCGTATGAAGAGCAAATCAAGAGAGAAGCAGAAGAGGAAATGAAACACATTTTGCGAATGATTGTCTTAGTGGAAGGTGTACAATATCTGATGACTACTGTACCACATGTTAATAATAAACATTCATTCCTTCGTCTCTGTCTTCCCGTTTCCTACACCGTGACCAATCAATGCACACAACTATCATATTATAGATGAGATAAACTTACAGCAGAAAGACGATCAACTTTAATACTTCCATAACGTTTGATAACATATCGTAATCTTCGTTCATTCCAGTCTTCAATAGTTGTCTCATGAGAATTAAAACCAAAAAATGATAAAGAACTGTCAATCACTGAAGTAATCGGCCTAAAATGATAATATATATGCTTAGTAAAACACCATTTACCCCATAATATTACGACGTGAAAGATTTCTGTAGACAGAGAATATAAATGGAGCAGATTAAATAAGAGTTGAATTGAATACCTTGAGAGAGCACGTTGCCCTTCATTTTTACCAAGACTACCAGAATCCATACGTGACATATTCCACGTTGATAACTGATATCTATGCAATGAATAAATATATGATGATGTAAAACCTCACTACAACATCAGAACGTACTAAGAAACAACATACACTCTTGTGCAGTAGGCAATATAGCAAAGTTATTGTGTGAGGGCTAATGATACCACCTGGTCGGGATTCGGACACATAACCTTGTCTTTATTACTTTCTCATCAAACACCTATCACAACCAGACATACATGCCTTTATATCTTTCCACCTAATATCATTTTGATGATGGTGAAGTCTTTCACCGCTGTTTTCAGCAATGTGGAAATATGGGAACTTCCCTGTTGAGGTCCATATGATAACTGAAATCGTTGATTTGTAGATTACACTAGCCAAATTAGAGTTATCTAAACACTGGACAGTCGTTTTGCTCGTTTGGAACCAATCTCATCACCGGTGTAGCCGCAGAAATCCACCTTATATGTTCAGATCATCTGAGTCTTATTTTCGATGTAAATCTTACTTTGTCATACGCAGATAGTTCATACACATTTATACATACTAAACTTATTTCTGAAAATTACTCATCTGTGTTAGAGCCCTACGACCACATTTACATATTGAACTGTTAACAATCACTAGCAAACCAAAATATAGTGGTAAGAGTTAAAGTATCACTGTTATATCAGCCGGGGAAAGGAAAATACGAATCTCAGATAATGGTCAGTGACACAACTTAAACGATCTAAGGAACTATTTTATAATACAACTATTGTAAAGATTAGCTTAAAAGCTTTTTATTGACTCATCAGTCATTTTCGCGCGACTCATTGCTCCGAAATGGCTACATCCTAGGTAAAGTCGGTTACATTACATTAGTCCATAAAGGAAGGGCAGTCTCTTATTGTATGGAGGTTGGTGGGGTAGGGGAGAGGAGGGAAAGAAATCAGGTGACTAACTGCACTGATGTATTGTGGCACCACACTTAGTAACTGTATGCGGAACTAATCACACGCGAAGTCAGTGTTGGAGGTGAATCATAAAATCAAAAGTCGACACCACACAATTTGCAGCAAATAAGTATTTAGAAGGTATAAGAAAATTCCAAATGATGAGATGGAGCAATTCAGCCCTGTGTAGGAGTGGGAAAATACAAGTATCATTACAACAACTGACACCCGTTGGACGAGGCGTCTATTATGTCTTAGTGGCTTAGTGGATAACGCTCTGGCATTTGAAGCGAACGGTACTGGGTTCGAGCCTCAGTGGGAACATCATTCACTGGGTTGCAGGTACATCCAGCTGACGAGCCCCAATGAGGCATCCAGAACGTGCGAAGCGCACGTTCTGGATGCCTCTGCTAGTCATCAAGATCGATGTGGAATTCCAAATGAATTGTTTCCCTTAGGGTTGACACACAGATAAAAGCAATCAATACAACAGTAAAACTAACTACGATGATTCTTTCTAAAGTTATCGGTGTTTTTGTCACTAATTGTCGCTCAGTTCAACGTTTACATGCTTCCTAATGGGCACAGTATTCCGGCGAAGTCGTCATCTGACTGATAGATGATTAATTTCATCAGAAAATAATAAGAGCTTCAGTTTACTACTCAATCTACTGGCACCATTTGCTTATTAACCCTATAAGATTTATAATGAAAAAGGTGAAGCTACAGATTTACAGATATTGGATTTTATGAGAATAATTTGTTCGTTATCTGAAGTACCTGTTAGGACATCACTCGCATTATCTTCAGGGTGAATGGTAGTATATTTAGATATTGCAAGTTTGGTAAGTGCATTAGGATTCCAACTTGAGACTCACTGAGTTGAAGGCAACTAAATAAACCAGTTTTATTGAGATAACATTCGGTCTTATGCTGAATCCCATGTTTTTCCACCTTAAAACACTTTGCATACTGACTTCAACTTCATCTCATCATACCACGTTCTACAGATGTATGGTTTAGTGTGACTTATCTCTAGATGACTGGAAGAATTTACTACGAAATGTGAACGAAGTGGTGTCAGGAACACTAACAGGTGCCTACAGTGCACCCTGTAAGAAACTTGATAGCTGTAAGTGTGAACGGATTGTACAAGTATCATATTTATACATCAACTTATCCTTTATATGATCTTAATACACACATATGAAATTTTTAAACGGAATAACATTAGTCGACACTCGAGAGATATTGTTAATCAGGCATCTAACCGAACGAGCTAGGGGACAGCTGACTTATGTGATCACACTACTTCGAGAAAAACAAACGAAAAATTTGTGACACTTGCGTAATTGCTAGTTGAATTAACAGTTTCGCAGAAAACTCCATTTGATAGTAACTATGACCTAATTTCGTAAAAATTATACAAAATCCTAGAGAATAAATTAAGAACACCCACTATTTAAAAAGTTACCGACTCATACAGAAAAAATCATTCTCACTGAGTTCAACCGAAATGCTCTCAGGCAACGTTGTGTACATTCTTCCAGTAGTCAGTCAGCCACACCTAATGTATGAGGCCTAATAATACTACCTTGCTGCTTAGACTTCGGTAGGTGGGGCGGTGTTCGAACCCGTGACTGACTAGTTGAAAGTCACCTTCCGAAACCAGTGAGCCACAGTCCCACACACACTCCATTTTATTTGCTCAGGTTCTGGAAAAACATCAACCAATTCAATCAGAAATTTTTTTCTACTGCAAAGAAGTATAATATAGTGCTTTCGTTCTTGAAAGTTACCAGCTGACACACAGAAGCGGTAAAGGTTTATCTCCCAGGGGAATTTCAAGGAACATTCCATTTGATGGTTTGTGGGGATTTTATTGATTCGTATCTAACAAAATGATGTATGCCATCAGCCAGTCTGTTCCACTAGCAACTCCAAAGTGCTCCAAGTCACTTAAGGTAATAAGCAACTCTGCTCGTAAACTACTTAAGTTAAAAAGACACCACCGCCCCGAACACAAAAGGAGTGGCAATGGTAACATATACAGACTATTTACATAAACAAAAAAACACATGCACAAAGGCACTGAAAGCTGATCGGCAATGGGATTAATTTGCGCTTACAAACATGCTTCTTTCTAACCCGCCAAACTGCATTGCTCCGACAGCCCAATGGGCTGGTTAATAACAACACTGAGGCAGTCCCACCCCTAGTTGGTCAGTACTCCCATGTCTTTTTATCCCGACCAATTACTCACGAGTTTATGAATATTCGACTAGCCAAGTAGGACTCAGTCATTAACTTAAGCACTGAGTTAGTACAGCGCAAACTGCTACTGCTCCGAAATAACACTTTTACCGAACAAAACCCATGCGGCGGTTTTAAGGAACAGTACCAATCCTGGTCATGTTATTTAAGGATTCTAAGCCAAAGAAAAGTCCCCAATCCTTGGAAGTTTGGCAACATAATGCCAGTCTTTAAAGCAGATCAACGAAGCAACCTGAAGAACCACAGATCGGTGGTTGTGTTATCTATACCCTCCGAGATAATTAAGTCGTTAGTTGATAGCGCACTGAAAAATCACCTTATAATGGTTAACTGCTTTATGCCCTAACAACAAGAATTTAGAAATAGATACTCTTGCGTTACTAACTTGCTCATCAAAGTAGATATATGAACTAGTACTGCAGACCGGCTAAGCAGAATTGATATTACTTATCTAGACTTTTCTTAAGCATTTGATCTTGTTAACCATGACTGACTTATTAATAAAGTTAATCAAGATCAAACCGCTACTCATCGACTGGTTGTCTTCAAATCTACATAGTCGATAATTAAGAGTTTAAATAATTTATTGATATCTGAGGAAACAGAATCCCAAATGAAGTTTCCCAACGATTAGTACTAGAACACCTTTTTCTAATATACAAAAACGATTTTTATAAACAAGCCTCCCCTGAAATCGTTTTTTGCCGATGTTAAACTGCGGGAAGAAACCAGAACGACAGTTTTTACCCACAAGATAACGTAACTAGGCTTAAAAACTGGGCAGTTAGCAATGGGCTTGTACTAACCACTGAGAAATGCAAGTTCGTACATCTAAAACACAACGCATGTCATGCATATAGTCTCAGCGGCGCAGAACTGGGGGTGCTGCATGTGAAGAAGGATTTGAGCGTTTTATATCACATGCCAACAGTGACAAAAGCGCATTTTGTGGATAGAAGGCGCACATCTTAAATGAATTTTCGGACAATTCAATCGTAGATGCTTCCACTACATCCTCAATAGCTTCATCTGAAGTTTGAGACTATGTCCAAATATTTGACACCTGCAGAGAGACAAAATAAGCTTAAACCACATCCAGAGGCGGTCGACTAGATCTGTTTGAGGACTTAGGTGTAAAATAAATCAAAAACAACTGGCAGCGCTTGATCTGAATCCTCTGGAAAACAAAAAACTAAGACGAGACTCGATAATGGCTAACAATGTCCTAAACAACCCATGGAACTCTCCGCGTCACTGATCTAAGCCCATTCATAACATTCATCTTAGTATAAACACATATGGAAACTAAGCATAGAACATAACAGGTTAGATATCTAGAACACTGTTCTTGGAATACTCTTTTTGAAGAAATGATTTGAGCCGTTTTATCTCAATCCTTTGAACACGGATTTGACACCTACTTACCATGTGAGTAGGAGCTCAACCACACATAACCTGCATTTCCTATTTCAACTGTTATCATTTTCTCTCTTTATTTGTACATAAATTAACCACCAAAACAAAAATTATGGCCCACTGCTTCTATACATGGGAGAAAGTGAAGCTGAGGTTTCTTTTATTACGCTACCAGCTATCTGAGATCTTACTCGTTTTCCGATTAATCAATACACAATGTTCCTATTGTTTTTTGCCTTCGAAGGCACCGATCGGTGCCGATCTTGAAGGTAAGGCATTCGAATGACATGAAAACAAAGTATAACTGCATCGGTTCTAATACATTTTAATTAGAATATGTTATCTAGGGTCTCCAACAGGCTGTCACTGTAGTAAAACACAACCTAACTGGGTTATGTTACCAGATTAATAAGTATGCTGACATATCCGTATACAGCCCAAATAAAAATTCAGAGACCTGATTCAACGACGCAACGTCTTCTTTTCCGCTATAAAGTTATCTCCAAATTAACCCACGATTCAGCTCTCATTGAAAAGATGAGTTGCAATCAAAAGAGACGACAATGTATGACACACCTCCCAGTCACCCTAAATAAGTTTTGATTGACAATGCAGCGAGTCAATTTACCCTTTTCCCATAACTTTGTTTAGGACAATCTTATCACTCACATTATTATACTACTATTGTGGTCTCTAATTATTTATGAAGACGGCCCTGAAGCGCCGTTTGATTCAGAAATCCGCCTCTAGTCCACTATCCAATGTTGACAGTGCGAGCGTAGAAAACTGGTAGTTTTTGATCTCTCGCGTCTAGTTCTTAGGGCTCGATTCGAGTTTTTCGGTTCACTCCTGCAGTGGACGAGGAAATCCCCTCTGCTTTCTTGCTTTTAGCTTCAGTGATGTGGATGTTTTGTGCGTTAGTAAGTTGTAATTTGTAGAGTGATTGGGGAGCTACGGGTTGCTGGGAAGTTTAGAGAACTGCCGTGACTCCTATATGTGTAGGTACCTGAAAGAGAATAGTAAGGTGATGGTAAAGGAATGAAGAGAGAATAAAAAAGAGCGGAAAAAATGATAATATAGGGAAGAGAGGAGGGAAGGAGAAGAAAGGAGGGGTGAAAAGAGAAATGAGAACGAAAAAAAGTATTTGGGAATTGCCCGAATGGTCGCGTGGGTTTGGTTCCTACAGGAGAATTAGCAGGTAATGTGGGTGTAGTAAGGAGGGAGATTGTGAGTTGTGGTTGGGAGGGAGTTGGGGGTACTGAGGTTGGTGACTACCTGAGTACGTCCGTGGTAGTCCGTGCGAGGTGACATAACTGTCTAATCGCCTCTTGAATGGGTCGACTGAGGGAGCTATAACGATGTGTCGCGGTAAGGCATTCCATAAAGCACATACTCTTAGGGAGGAAAATTTGGACCTGAGTGTGGTGTTGGCTCTCTGGTGTGCTATCTTAATGGGGTTTCCTCGTGAAGATCGTTGAGTTGCAGGCAAAATTGATCTGTTTGCATGGTCTGCCTGATGAGCGATCTTGTATGCCACGTGGTCCGCCACATGGAACCCCCGATTCAACTTAAATGAGTGCGGCTGGATATGCTCTGGAGCACCGTCCATTCGTCTTCAGTTGTCTGCAAACTGTGATGCTACCTAGTCTGCACACTGTCCTTGACCTGGGGTTCCGTTACCGTAACGACCTTACACTCTCTGAACATTTTGCGGCACAAACCCGTAAGCCCAGAATACTACTGGGCTGTATTATTCGTAACTTTCATTACTACGAGGCCAAATTATTGCTATACAAAACTTGCGTCCGACCCCCGTTAGAATACTGTTAATCTATTTTAGGGAGCGTCAAACAAACGACAAACTTGAGATCGACAGTGTGCGGAGGCACTTAACATCCAGACTTCCTGGTTACGAATTTGGCCAGGATTATGCCTGTCGGTCCACGTCTTTTAATCTGTGACCACTTTGGATGAGGCGTCTCGAGACTAAGCTTATATTTTTCTTCAAGATTTTACACAAAATATCCTCTACAGCTAGTGAGGAAGTCCGTTTCACACCTAGAGGTTGCTACAGCCTTCGCAACCAAGCCTACCGTACTGAAATGAAATCTTTTAGAACATCCCTCCGAGCTAACTTCTACCCCATTAAATACTCGAAACTATGGAACCATCGCCCTGCCAACATCAGAGCTTCGAGCTCAACCGTCCAGTCTAGTCGTATGTTAGAAAAATTTCTATCCTCGGGCAAACTCCTCAATGTACAGAACGAATCACAACTATGTCTCACAACGTTCAGTGTAATAGGCTCCTTAAATGTATGAGGTGGAATACCCTGATCGGTAAATCCACACTCTTCCCTATTACATCCCAGGAACAATTAGGACCACTTCGTTGATTAAGTTGCTCATCTATACCTCCCACTTATTACCACCACTACTGGAGACATCCTCAGATGTAGCCCCTCAAAAATGGCATTCCCAAAACACATGCATACGTGAAACCTAGGACTATACGTTTAATAATGGGCATGATACCACGCACATAAGTCAAATTTTACATATAGTTAACTTCCTTGTGCCTCGGAACCCCGCCCTCTGTTTTCTCTATTCTCACCGTGAATAGAATCTTGGAAATCTACAATTAGATTGGAATTACGACATTTCATCAGTACTTGCCTTAAATATCACTGCATCCGTCATCAAGCAACTCCTATGCAATCTTGCGACCTGTGAAGAACATCCCTATGGTGTCACACGAAGATACTTCCTTGAAGCCTTTCGACATTTATTGATCCACTGTCTCGTTGACTGGGGCCGTTTCGTCCATTGCAGCTGCAAGTAGCATATAAAAATGCAGAAAAATAATTACAACTTCATCTACAGAGACGGATTCCCCCAATCGACCACGAAACTCGGAGGAATGTTGCAAATATTTGCTGATCAGTCAAGCACAAGGCAGAGCAACATGGCGGCTACTGTGGACATGTGTCCAATTTAGCATGAGCAAACAAAGTCTTCCTTTTTCTTCAGACTAAGGATTTCCACTGCCTGGAATGAAGAGACGATAAACAATTTTTTGTAAAAGAGAATATTACAGGAGATTTTCCATCACTAACTGTTATAACCGTATCCGTAAAAATGATATGCACCTGTAAACTCATGAATAAATTATTATTATTACTGAATGCCAGAGATTTAGTGTTGCGTGACCCCCCTGGCAAAAATATTTGTTGATAGTCGCTTAAGATTGAATCCTTAAGCGAGAAGTTATGAAACGAGCCATTCACCAGTACTTCCGTGACCTTCGCTGCTGAAGAGGTCAGGGAGATCGATCTGTGGTTACTGGCTAGTAGTTTGTTTCCACCTTTGTATATTGGGACGACAGCCACCCGTTCCAATTCAGAGGGTGACCAGCCTCCCAGAAACAATCATCTGAAGAGGTTTGCCAGTGGGGCACTCGGAACGTTAGTACACTGTTGGAGAACTCTTCGGTGGATCCCACAAATTGCTGAAGACTTTTTCGGATTCAAGTCCCCCAAGATTCTCATAATTATGAAAAGTTCGAGCTCTATGTAATTTAGCTCCTCAGTAATGCGGGTGTACGACAGATACGTGGTTGTCCTTCCCAAATGACAGGAGTTGTTTTGGAATTCATGTGGTGTTAAGTTTGTTATCTCGAAGTTAGAGTGGAGAATCTCTAAACTAGTGTCCTGTATGCTAGGTGAACTGATGCCGTTCCGTTTCATCAGCAAGTACAGTATCCCATGATTTTCCTCCAGGGTTCTACAACGTTGTGTTTGGTAGTTTATTTTGTCATTTCTGATCCTCATTGCACATTCGTTGCGGATATCCTTATAACTTAGCATCAACGTTTATCATGATGTCACAAGTGACTGCGGGTTACGAAAAAGCAGAAAAATACCACTTCACGGTACGTACAGATTGTCTATGAGTTTCCGTCGTCTCCACTCACCATTCTTTTTCACATTAAAGTGGCATCAAAATCGTACAGTATTCGACCTTTGCGTTACGCGCGACCGAGATGCTTAACCTGGAGACATAGTTCAGTGTATCGTCAGATAAACCTTTATTTTAACTTCCGTTCACATGCTTATAGTGCCACTGGCCAACAAAAACTCACTTCATTGAGTTCAGGTAACAGGAAATGTTAGCATAACCACATAACCCACATGAGTATACGTCCACGCATTCTCCTCTCGTAGTGTGACCTTACACAACAACACAGATGTAAGCCACCCGAATTAGTTGTTGTGGTACAAAGAAATATACATTTGAAGGACTATTACCCAATGGTGATGGAGTTTTGCAAACAGAATTCACATCGAAGCATGCATCATCATTAAGAAGGTGCGTTGACTGCTAACTGGCTCCTATCAAACGGAGTTGAGTGAGTTGGGGTACTGGGGAAGTTTGTTGTGTGGGTTTCTCTGCGAACATCTCTCCTTGAGTCACTGGGCGAGTTTGTTTCTTGGATTTATATGTTTGTCCAGATTTTCGCTGCTATTATGACCGTCCAGAAGTTTTAGATCGTTTGTTGTGGTTGGGTTTTCACATACAGTGGCATCTAGGATACCGGTAGCTGGGCGGGTTTGCTGTGGAACTTTTCAGAAAGTTGGAAATCAACAGTAGAAAACCAGTTGGCGAGGTCTTTGAAAATTTTCTGGTGTCACGTACGAGGTAACGTATTCAGTAATTGACATTTTCGGTCAAAATTGTGCTGAAGATTTTCCTTCCAAGCTTAAGCTGTAAAGAGGAGGAGAAAAGGAAGGAACGAGCAGGGACCGGATGCACCATACAAGGCGAAATCAGGAAGAGAGAAGATCCTATCGTCTCAGAGACACTCCAGCTATATGTACACCTGAATAATGCGTATAAAAATAACTCTTATGACTTTCTTGCGTAAGGTTCGTACAAGTTCCTGAATATGCCGTGTTTGTTTGTAGACGTGCGGGGAAAAGTGACTCAACATCAAGGTGATGTATGCTTTGCTAATGTGTACTTTACTGGCTGCACAACCTAAGGTAATAGAATGGCGGTTAGACGCCCCGTGCGAAGATGTTTCGTTCCATTGGGGCCAAAGTACTTGGGATTTGTGACGGCATTATTTCACACCATTAGGGGTCCCGGTGTAGTGGGCGTTGCTGATAACAACGGATATAAGTAGTATATATCGAGAGGGTGGCAGGAATCATAGGGAATTACCGACGATGGGTAAGGTTTCTGCCAACAGCAACGCAGGGGACAACACGGGGATGCCGCTGATAAGAGTGTATGAAGAGCCGGTCAAGAGCAAATCAAGAGAGGAACAGAGAGGAGACGAAGACATTTGCAAATGGCTGCGTTAGTGCAAGGAGTACAACCAGTCCTGTATTCAAACGGAATCCTACAAATCGCATTCGTCAGCGGGAAATATTGGCACCGAAACCTGATGGCGAACGCGCACACCCCAAGTCATGACTGTGAAGCGGCCTCACCTTCAAGAATATTGGATGATTCAAACGATGACCGGATAATCTTCAAATTCGAACTGAGCCTGCTTCGACATGCCTCCTATATGCCATAAATCACAGCATCTAATGTATAGCATAACATTGTACATAATAGTCATCTCTCATTACCAAAGTGATCAAACCTGTAAACTGGTTTGTATTCATGTAACCTTTGTTGCATGAAATATATTATTATTATTAATATGCAACCACTCCATTCCAATTCTTCCTAATATATATTCTCTCGTCGAGTTGTCTTCTGTTTCTTCACTAGTATGCTTTCATCAGCATAGGACGTACATATAGTGAGTAAGCGAGTGATAAACTCATCATCTTATTCAGCAAGCAGTGAATGGCAGATAATAAACCTGCAGCACGTATCTCCTCAGGATGTCTATTCCAGAAGTGAGAATACTGATCGAGGAAGAAATAGCCCCGCACACTGGTCTTATAACACTCGATTTCAGCCAATTGTTTGTGGTTACGTGTTTTGTAAGTGAGTGTTACAACTATTTTAATTTCCGGGCAACATGAGTGCACTTGCTCACAAAGTAGTTTATAATGAAATGTAAGATTCCTTCTAAGTCGCCCCTTCCAGAAAGGTTCTAGTCCTAGTGTGTTGCATCTGAAGATGTGGTATAACCCGCAGTCAACTCCTAGTGTTCTAAATGTAAAGTGGCGTTGTACCTCCTCGATTTTTGGTTTATCGTCTGCTCGAAACCTACTTATGACAAATGAGCAGTATCCTAGAATTGGGCGGATGTATACCTTGCAGAGTGGGATCCTTGATTCAGTACTATGAAAGTTACGAGTGATGCATCCTAGGAGTCTGCGTGACTTGGTTTCGCTGTACGCTGCCTGCTCAGAGAAATTCAGGTCACTTGAATGTCTGGGCCCTACGCCTGAGATAGAGCCAAGTTTTGGTAATAGTTGTCCGGATACTCCAAATGTCAAGTCAAGGCTACTGTTAGAAGGGTATCAGCACACCAAAAAGAAACCTTCCCTATTTCATGTCAAGTAGCAGCCATAGCGTCACCTGGCTCATGGCTATAACAAGAGTAAACGACTTCTAGGTCGTCGGCATACAGGAAGGCGTCACCTGTGGCAAAGCAGTCGCAAACACTGTTAATCTTGATAATAAACAAAAGGGGTCCAAGAAAGCCACCTTGCATAGCTCCACTTGTGATGTTTCCCGGAGTAGACGGGACCGAACTGATTTCTGTTATTTGGGTGCTATCACAGAAACGATTTTGGCCAGCTCGGCAGAGGGTTGCTAACACGTAACGCGTTTGACTTTTCGAATAGTACACTACGCGAAACCATGTCAAATGCCTTCGATATTTCAAAGTACAGCACAAGGACCATTTTGTGGGCCTCACGACTGCCGGTAATGAGGTCGACGAAGCAGAAGTGACGAGTAATGCATGACCTATTTTCCATAAAGGCGTGCCGAGACTTTGTTATAAAATCTTCCGTAAGTAGGTATTCAGGAATGCTGTCTTTGACAATTCTCTCCATAATTTGCAATGGGACTTGGGTTACAAATAAATATCTTCATCCTCAAGTTATGAAGTTAACAACGGAGAGAAGCCAGTTTACAGACCTCATCAAATTTATAATTGCAGAGAAACATAAAAGTTTTGAGCAGTATTGAATGATACGGAGGGAGGGCATCAAACTCTTTCATGATACCAAGTGTCTAAATGTTATGAAAATAGCAGAAAAATATCGCTTTACAGTACATATACATCGTCCTGGGTTTAAGTCATTTCTGCTCACAATTCTTTCTTCCCATCGAACGGCGCAATATTTAGTGTTTTTGTTGTGAGTAGTCGACACGATTGACCCGCGCACAAGACCAAGTGCTTCGTCAGATAAACGTCTATTTTAACTGTAATTCTTATGTTCTTAGCTTTATTGACCAATAATAACCTACTTCAGTGATTTCAGAAATAAGTAAGTATCCATAGAATCATTTGATCCAGGTGAATGTCCAAGTTCAGGCGTTTTTCACTCTTCAAGTGTTACCTTTTCCAGCAATTCAGATTGATAGTACTGAAAGCATTTGTTGTGGTGCAAGTAACCAAAGAACGGAAGAATCGTCGTTCAACAGTGGTGAATATTAAACATGTGTAAAACTTCACAGACTTCACATTAAAGTATGCAACATTGTCAGGGAGACACATTGGCTGTTAACTGACTTGTATTAGGTGGATTGATACAGGACAAAGTACCAGAGAAATCTGTTGCATAGCATTATTATGGATGTGTTGCCGTTAGGCAAAATGATCTCTCTGGTTTGACTGTTTATCCAGACTTCCGCTGCATTTGTCACGGACGAGAAATCGGAGACCAGTTATTGTGCTCGGGGTTTCGTGTATGGCAGCATTTAGGGTACTGGTAGGGAGGTGAGTTGGTCGGTAAGCTGTTCAAGAAACAGGAAAATCGGGGCGAGCCAGTTGGATACCTCGAACATCAGTTTCCAGTATTAGGTGCGAAGTAGGATTTCCAGTAAGCTGATACTTTTTGATCGGACTGATGCTTAGGACTTTCTCTTTTCAGGCTGATACTGAAAAGAGAAGAGGAAAGAAAGTGCAAGGAGAAACTGGACAGTAGAATACCACGTAAGACAAACTGGGAAGAGAGAAGTTCTCGTCTTTTTAAAGTCATTCGAGCTATATGTAAACTTTAATTTATTCATATGAGAGTGAATCTTCCTTCCTTTATGTGAAGTCCACACGAGTTATTAGACAGGCAGTTTTTGTTGTTAAAGGGAACACTGGCTATGCATTCGTGTTGCACAATCCGACCAGACGGACTGGTGGTCAGACACCTTTTATGAGTCCATTGAGATAAAAGGTACTTCAGATTTATGATAGCTTTACTCTATACATTTAGAGGTCCTAGTATGTTTTTATTGGCCCAGAACTTCTAGATAGTGCCTAGGCAGGTGATAGACTCATCATCCGTTAGGAGTTTGTTAAGTGCAGAACGAAAGACAAATAATGAACCTGCAGTAAGTGTTTCCTCAGGAAGTCTATTCCAGATGTAAGGGAACTTATTAAGGAAGGAGTTTCTTCTCAATTTGGCGCCACAACACTCATTTCCAGCTAATAGATTGTGATAACGTAAATAGTGAGTAGATGTTACAATTATTTTAATTTCCGGGCCACATGAGTGCACTTGCTTACGAGGTGATTTATAGTAAGATATAAGATCCGTTCTAAGTCGCCTCTTCCAGAGAGGTTCCAGTTCTAGCATGTTGCATCTCAAGGTGTAGTCTAGGCTGCAGCCAGCTCCTAGTGTTCTTAGTGTAAAGTGGAGCTGTACTCCTTCAATTTTTCCTTTGTCGCTTATGCGAAGGCCACTTAAGATAAGCGGGCAGTACTCTGAAATTGGACGGATGCTCACTGTGTAGAGTAGGACTCTTGATTCAGTGCTATAAAAGTTACGGACGATGCATCCAAAGAGTCTACATGACTTAGATGTGATACAAGCCGTCCGCTCAGAGAATGTTAAGTCACTGAAATATCTAAGGCCAAGATCTAGCACTGAAGAACGTCGAGGTAGCTTTTGCCCACATACTTCGAGAGACACATCTAGGTTATCGCTGCCTACGCTAAGCCAACCACATTTATCAATTTTGAACTGGAGATGGGACTCGTCACACCATTTGGCAACTTCACCTAACTCTTGTTGAGCAGTAGATAGCGTATTACCTAGTTCATGGGTGTGACATGAGTGTACAACCTTAAGGTCATTAGCGCATAGGAATGTTTCCCCTACAGTGAAGCACTTGCACACACTATTAATATAAGCCATGAACAACAAAGGACCAGGGACACTACCTTGTATTACTCCACTAGTTATGAGCCTAGGTGTAGACTGCATAGAATTCACTTTGACGATTTGGCTCCGATCACTAAGAAATGATTTTAGCCAACGAAGTAAAGGGTCATGGATGCCGATCGATTGTAGCTTATCGAATGCCTTTGATATGTCAAAGTATAGAACAGTGACGATTTTACGTGCCTCGCGGCTACTAGTGATGAGGTTGAAGAAGTCGAAATGGCAAGCAACGCAAGACTTGTCTTTAATGAAACCGTGCTGGGACTTTGTGATGAGGTTTTCGCTAAGCAGGTAGTCAGACATGCCGCTCTTAATCACTTTTTCCATGGTTCAGGAGACGACTGGCATTATGTTGATGGGTCTGTAGTTCCCAACATTCGCTTTGTCACCGGACTTGTAGCAAGGAGTTATAAAGCTAGTTTTCCACTCGCTAGGACACTCCCCACTTTCCATTGATAGTGTGAATATCTTAAGCAAGAACAGCGGCATATCATCACCAATGTTTTTGATGACTATTGAGTTTGGGCCATTTATCCCCTTACCTGTCGACAGTTTCAGGCTTTTGATAGCCTCAGTGATACTTTTGACAACGAACTCCACTCTAGTACATGAAGTGGCGGTAATTGGAGTAAAGCTAGTGGGGTTGGGGGCATTAGGGCTGAAGTTAGTGAATGATTCGCCAAACAGCCACTAACCTTGATAAGATCGTTGTGTACCACCCCATTATGTAGTAGATAGGCTATATCCGTTGATGGCTTCAGATATTTACTCGGAAGAGATGTCAGCTTGTGTATTCTAGAGCCACTCCTGAGAGCGACGATCTCTTCGTTTACCGAATGTTTCGCACGTAGTGTCTTGATAGATTCGTAAGTCTCATGAATCAATACAATGATATGAAGTCTTTCGACGAGTGGTAATGTGATGATAATTTCCTAAGTTTATTGCGAATATTTCAGGAACGTATAGGTCTGGCTTCTTATAAACCCCAAGTGTTTTCGCGGGAGTGACAGTATATAGACACAGCTCTATATTTCTGTAGAAAAGTGAGTGTGTAATAGTGGGGCCGTGGTAAAGTACTCATCACACGGACAGCACCTGAGTAGCTCGTTGAGTACTTCCCACTCTATATTCTTATAGCGTCCATGCCGAGTATAATTTGAAGATTGTTTATTTTTCTCACTGAGAGGAAGAGTTGGTAAGCAACAGAATACCATCCAATGGTCACTGTTAGAAAATCCGCTACTAACGTGGGTAGTGACAGGGATGATGTCACAGCAAAAGACTAGGTCATTATGCTATCTCCACGCGTGGATTGCTGAACGTATTGCTTCCAGCCATAGATATCTGTGGCAGCAAGTATTTCATCAAGTCGCTGTGGGCCGCGACCGACCTCCCAGTTAACTTCAGGTAAGTTAAAGTCGCCTGCAATCAGTTTGAAGTCAACAGTGAGGGATCCAGTGTGGGTGAATGATCTAGCCATCAGTTCATCATTTTCTTTTGTTGGGCATGGTGCTCTATACACACAGCCTATGAGGATTTTGTAGTCGGTACCGTTTATAACGATCCAAAGTGGGCCCGGCATATCATTGAAGATATCATCTTCAATCTTATTTGAGGTAGCAAGGCTACACACATAGATCAAACAGCCTCCACCACGCTTGTGGTCACGATTAGTGCGATACAGGGTATAACCATCCATGCACAGGTCCATGTCTAGGATTGAGTCAGTACACCATGATTCAGTAACTAATAATGCAGTAGGTTTGATTAGCAAAACCGTTGTTCCAAGACCGGGTATTTTCTTAAGCAACGATCGAGCATTAATAAGTAGAAGCACGAAAAGGCCGCTACGGCTTGCAAAGTAACTTACTATGTTTCTTAAGCCTCGGTAAGCGGAAGAATTTCTGGTATTCAGTTCGCTAGATGATGCGCCAACTATGTCTCGGACGTGACAGGACTCGACAGTGGGGTGTGCCGGTGTGACTGGTGGGTTCCTGTCTCTCACAGGTATATGATTACTTAGTTTTTCACCGCGTTTATAGGTTGTTAACATGCACCTCTTCTTTATTGTTGGCGTAAGGTGTGGTTTATGACCGGTGTAAGTCGAAGAAATTGGTTCCAGCACTGTGTTATCAAGGGGTCGAAAGAGTCTAAACACCATGGGTCGCACACATTGTGCGGGATCCGAAAAAAATCCTGGTAGGGTTAACAAGTGGGGAAGCTTCCTGCAGGGGGTGTACATCTGTTCCCAAAGTATTGACTAGGATTATTGAGATGCGCAGCTGAACAGTGGTTAGATGTTTGTGGTATGTAGGACATTTGGGCGTTCAGTACGCTACTCCGCACCACGTTATGACCCCTATGATTGAAGGGACGTGGTCCGAATGAGTGTCTCGTGTGATAAAACCTCGAGCTGTTGTGGCACTCATTTCTGAAAAAAGGGGTTTGACGGAAAACTCGCTTTTTGGGTTCGTGTATTGCCACTGTCTTAGCTATGAAATATTCTTCTCCGTCATTAGAAGGCACGCGCCTGAAATGGTTCTTCTTCTAAAACGTTTTGGCTTTAGGTGGTGAGGTTTCGCCCGAACTTCTGAGTTTTCTGTCACCCAGCGGTCTACCGTCTATGGTGACCTTAGGGGTACCAATGGTTTTCCTTTTACGAGTAACTGAAGGATCAGGTTCGCTTGTAGCCAGATTTGACTGAGACTGTTGTACTGAGGAAGAGGTATATCCAACGGAAGTACTGACCACGTCAGCACTTTCTGAGGGTCTGTTCGTGCACACAGCAGCCTCTGTGGTTAAAGGAGATGAATCGGTCAGGCCACTCCTTTTTTGTTTTCTGCGTTGGTATGCGGTTTTGTGTTGTGCAACAGCAATATTTTTAAAGCTGCTATGTAACCTTATGTGGTCCTGTAGTTTAATAAATCTTTTGGCGTCAAATGAAGTAGTGAACTTGAAGATCATGGGACAGCTAGACTGCGCTGACCTTTTGCGGAGGCGCTTACAGTCACAGCGTATTCCTGCCATACCTCATGAGTTTAATGCCCTTGTCTTAACTACATCCAAGGGCAGGGTATCAGGTATGTGATAAACGATTGCCGGTTGTGACGACGATAGTCCCTTCATTACCTCCGTCGCCGAGTGGCATATTAAGTTTTCTGCTTTCACTACATGGTCTTCAACTAAATTCTCATGCTGCTCTAGAAGATATGCTAATGGATGAGAATCCTCAACTATTCTCCGAATCTCTCCCAACATGGTCTTAACGTTATCGATATCTTTCCCGTAGTCGTTAATACTGCTACTCATGACTAATATGACGTCTTCGGTTCTGACA